ACGTATATTAACAGCATTGGCTGGAAACATAGCCGAGCCATTGTTGGTAATCTTCAATATGTCTCTGGACTAGTCTAAATGTCCAAGAGACTGGAAAGATGCCATCATTAGTCCGGTCTTCAAAACGGGGTCTAGAAACTTAGTTCAGGACTATCGTCCTGTCAGTTTGACCAGTATTGTTGTTAAACTACTAGAAAGAATAATTCGTGATGCTGTCATTCAGTTAATCGAATGGAACAAACTTTTCGCTGTGGAACAGCATGGTTTTAGAGCAGGTCATTCTTGCTTGACCAACCTTCTTTTGGCCAGAGAAAGTTGGGCAAGCTCAGCTGATGCTAATATTCGGTGGATGCCGTATTCATCGACCTTAGCAAGGCGTTTGCCAGGGTTTCTCATTCAGGTCTTCTAGTAAAGTTAGGTAGTCTGGGGATCAAGACTTTCTAAAGGACAGAATACAAAGAGTACGAGTTAACGGGGTTTTATCAACATGGGAATCGGTTAAGAGTGGCGTTCCTCAGGGTACAATTCTAGGCCCACTTCTTTTCCTGATTTATGTTAATGAGATTCCATCGGTAGTTAAGTCATCCTGCTTACTGTTTGCTGATGATATCAAGATATGAAGGGCTTTACACGATGACAGTGATCAACTTGCTTTGCAGGAAGATTTAAACTTGTTAAGTGATTGGTGTGAGCACTGGGCCTTGGAGATCAACTTAAGCAAGAGTGTAGTTATGCATGTATCTCATAGTCACGTGCACAATTACTCAATGAACGGCATTACTCTCCCAGTGGTCACTGAGTACAAGGACTTGGGAGTGGTTGTGCAGCATGACTTGAAAACAGCAACAAACTGTAGAGCTGCAGCAACAAAGGGTTTTCGAATATTATGGGCCATACGGAAGGCTTTTGCGAACTTTGACGCTGATATATTTCGTATATTATATCCGACTTATATCAGACCTCATTCGGAATATGGGATCCAGGCAGCGAGCCCGTGTTTCAAATACGAAATAGAATTATTAGAAAGGGTGCAAAGAGTAGGAAATAAGCTAATAAACGGTTTCTCAACCCTCTCATATGAGGAGAGGTTAAGTCGACTGGGTTTATTTCCACTGTCATACAGACGACTTAGGGGTGACCTAATACTAGCATACGGTATCTTAAGAAATGACTTTAGAGCTAATTTATCTAAATTATTTCTTCCTTCTAGCACAAACCGATTGCGAGGACATCACCTCAAGGTTCAAAAACCACGATCGAATCGTCTGCGTCTGGAGATCCGTTTTTCTCATCGAATTGTGAACCATTGGAACTCCCCACCAGAACACGTCGTATCAGCACCACCCGTTGACCAATTCAAGGCGAGATTGGACCTCCTGTGTGCAACAAATCGAAAGGATTAACACAGACATATAGCCTACTATCCTAAATAAATAGTTGACTGTAAACTGTAAACAATGACCAATATGTTTATCTGTGCACATTGAAACACATGGTGATCATTACAATCTCCATGGAACAAGAGCTCGAAAGCTTTGTTGTGGTGTGATTATCTACCTATACACCTCAAATCATTGTCAATAAATGCATCTACCTCCTCTTGCAAGTTGGGATGGTTTTAAGAGCAGCCTGGCCACTAGATTAAGAGAGCCAGGTTAAAGAGACGTCAGGTAGTGTGGCTAGAGTTCAGTTCTAGCAGGATTCGTGGCCTGTCATTTTAGTTGTAGAATGAACGATCAATTCATGGTTGCTTACTCAAAACCCACTCCATATTTTGGCGGGAGTCACCGATACTGCAGTCATCGTTCCATCGTACGCTGTTCGTTAGAAGATGGAGAAATGCTATCAGAAGTTTTATTGTGATTAATTGTTATGACATTTATTTTAAGATTTTGCGTATGATAACCTTATGGTTGGTTCGATATTAGTGCAAGGATAAAGGACACTTGAGTCAACAATCTGGGTTCCGTTTTGCCGCGTTGGTTACTGAGCAAAGAAGCTGAAGGTTTCCTAAGTACAGGGTTAAGTACAGTGTACTTAGACCGAGAGTTTGACATGGCCGCACAATAATCGTGAGTATTATACTCAGCCAAAACCTACTGGATACTTGTTCAAAATCATTCTAGTAGCCCAACTTACTGGTTTCCTAGATTATCACATTTATACTGAGATAAGTGCAGTTGGTGCCAATTACCTTAATCCATGAGTAAACTTTGAAGACATTGTTTGGCAAATATTAGCGATAAATGAAGTGTGTTTGTTTGGGAGGCGAACGCACACCTCACAAATGAAACAGTTACTGCTTTGTGCGCGATGCTTGTAATTGGATATAGTAGAAAGCAGATGTGTGACTGAAGGATATAAGCTAGATAGTCAGAAACGATGAATAGTGTTTTCGTGAAATAATCTAACATGTTTTACCGAATTCAGTGTATGAAGCGCGTCCTTACTATAGCTTGACATTATATGCACTTTACCCTTCAAGTCTCTATGTCTACTACACCTAAGTACAGCTCAGAACTTTATGAATCTGAGTTGCTACGTATCAACGAAAACAAAATCGAAAAATATATTGAAGAGGCTTTGACGCAATATTCAGGATATACACTTGAGGAATTGTTTTGGATGAGTCACTGGGGACACTTTAAAGAGGCTACTTGATGTAGGCTATTCATTTCAATGTTGCGGCCCTGTGAAAATAGACTTCTCCTCCCTTGTCATCTTCCTTAGTTTCACTCGTCTCTTACCCGACTTGTTTCTCATTGTGGAACGTGTAACTGATACGTGGGAGCTAATTGAGGAAATATGTCATCGATAGTGACAACAGACGACAGTAATTAATGCGGTTCATTCATCGTCCAGGGAGTTGGAAGAGGTTTTTCATGTAGTGCAAGAACCATAATGATAAGCTCTGGACAGGCTTCACATTTTAGGCTCAAAAAATCGAAGAGCAGCTAACGTCTGGTCAAAAAAGAGGGCGACTCCAGTGTTCGGTGTATCAACAACAACACTGATCAACGGGTGAACAGTTAATCTGAAGGAAGAAACGTTGGCAAAAGATAGTGGAAGTGACTGATTTTATAAGATTATTAGTCCATAGCTATGCTGGGAATTGAATTTGCGTATTGATGTTTGCTGGTTAAATGGGCTTTCAAGGCACTCGATCGGCCACTTTCTGCATGCAGTACACTGTCTCAATGTGTGTTGCTAGCTCAACGTGGTTCATGGCAAGCCAAATACACATCCCGATCAGCAAGCAATTTTTGGAAAATAAACATTTTAATCTGAATCGATTTCACTTTACAGGAGCACTGCCAAGTAGTTGTGATCAAGTATTGTAAACGTATATTTGGAAGAGGAAATGAAATTCACGCGCATCACTTGTTCTCTAATAAACCCAAGAATTGTATGAAAAAGCTGTCAGAAATACAGATGCAAACGTTGAATCCAGTGACAATAATTTATACATGGGGAAATACTAAAAGGAATGAACACATTTCGGAGTTTGGAAACTACTATGTGCTTGATAGCTTGCGTAAATATATGGGAGCTCGATTCCGAAACAAAATATGTCCATGACGCGAACTACTAGTGCAGATACTTAGGCCAAAGTTTACACACCTATTATTGTGCTTCTCAGGAATCTAAAGTGGAACATCGAGCCTTAGTAGAACACCACATTTCACCCTCTTCTCTGTAGTCTTATGTGACTTACAATCTTGCGCTTACCTCTCATACGATCTCTATACATCTCTCTGAAGCACGACTCGTCGATTCGCATTGGCGTTCTCCTCGAGGGCCTGCCTGGCGCATGGTGCCACTTGACAGTCTCCTCAGCATATTTCCAATCTATCTCCTGTCTCTTCTGTATAAACTTGAGTAATATGTTCACGAGTGGTACCGTGTGGCAGAATCCCTTGCCGCCTATCCTTCCCGGCCAGCCATCTGGCCCTCAGTATTGAGCGAAGACAGATGTTGATGAAAGTCTGAAGCCTTTTGGAAATGTTTGCGGTGACTCCAAGTCTCTAAGCCCTATAGAAGCATTAGTTCCATTGACCTGAGTGCTGCACTAAGTGGCGTAGGTCTCCACACAGATTTCAAAGTATTGACAGCTTGTTTTGCTTTCCCGTGCTTCCTGAATGTTGGCGTGTCTTTTTGGTGAGATTCATGTCGCGGATAACGTAACGCTTGTACATGCTGCCGATAATCACGAAGTCGAGAGACGAGCAAAAGTCTAAAAATAGTTCTTCTTCCTCATCCGTTTTATTGCGAAGTTTCCTCCCCCTATGCTATCTGCTTTCAGTGCAGCATCCATATCACCCATCAGAATTTCTTTGTCAATATCTGGTTGGGACACTGTCCACTGCTATTCACAGTTGTTAGGAGTCCTCCTACTTATCCCGTAGACCTGCGTTGCATGAAGTGTTATGCATAAACTGTTTAAACGTAGTTACCCTTCCTTTTGAGTTGAACCTTGCTGTCATAATCGTGTAGAAGATTGGCTCCCACTTCTTGAGAGCCATCGATGCCGTTGGTGACACCATGACAGCTACACCCTTTGAATTTTCCCTGTGCCCTGAAGGTTCTGCAGCTACTAAGTGGTTAGCTCCTTAGCCAACCTATAGTCCTTCCTCTGGGTTTAGAACCAGTTAGGACACTAGGCTAGGTTATTTTGATATCTACTTACAACCTAATAATTTATGAATCAGAGGGTACTAGTTTCACTTTATTTTCTCTACATTCAAACGAAATATTGAGAAAAACGCAGAATTAAAATGGTAAGGACGATAAATAATGTCAAGTATTTCAGCATTTAGTTGCAAGTAAACCAATTAGATGCTGAACAGTTAGCGCAAATTATCACATATGGCGTTACTCCAGAAGGCCGGTTGCGGTTTTTAGTGTGTTACTTTAGAGACCAGTAGGTTGGTATTGATAATTATTGAGTAGCTTTGTTGACTTTTCTATGTTTTAACATGCTTACTACTTAGTACAGGTTCTCAAAATGTCGTGACATTTTCTGTAGTGAAATCCAACTCGCAACGCTACCCTGGGAGATTAATTTTTCGAAATTATCTCTACGTTCGAGAGATTATGTGAAGTCGCATCACACACATACTTGTTGAATAACTGAATTTACAAGTGTGTGATTTGGTCGAAAAATGTGTGCGTATATACCCGAATAAGGAATTTTTGTGTCATTTTGGTGGATATTGTGCTGCGGACTCAGGGTTCTTTTTTTCGTGGAAATTTTTGGGCGGTATTCAAGGGTTTTATGGGGAAATGATGCATCTTCTCTCAATTTTTCACTAATTTTCCCCGAGATTTACATGGGTTTGGATCACTTTTCTCTCAATTCACGTGCTTCATTTCTAAGTAGTTAAATAAATTCAGGTTTTTCACACATGTTGCGATTATTTTTGATCATCTTTATGGTACTGCTTGTCAGTACTCAAAGCCTTTGACTAATTTTGTTGGTTGTAACAATCTCATTGCATCTGTCAAGCTCAAACATAACAATATTATTCTCATTTATTTTGTACAATGGTGTTCTATAGGTCTTTGTCAGAATCTCCACCTTCTTGGGTGGTGATGCGTGGTATTGATTGGCGAAATAAACCAGTCTAAACTTAAGCCATCCTGTTTTTATGTACAGTTTTTAATTGGGATAGCAGATGGAAGAAGTGCTCGAATTGAGTTTCTGTGACTATGCTGCTGATATATTTCTCTTGACCTTGAAACTTGAGTTCCAGAGATTAGAGTCAGTTCAATCTTATTTGAGTATAATTTTGGTAAATTGCTTACTGTTCAGGTGATTTGGTATATCTTCATGGAACTTTTCTTCAATTAGAGATTCTTGGAGAGGTTTTGCTTGCAATTCGTTTATAAGGTGCATGATCTACATATCATAGCTTACTTAATAAGCTGAATATTATTTGCTGGCTAAGGTCAAAATCTCCAGAATCTGGAAGGTAGCAATAAGTGAGTACATATGCGCTACTATAAAAGATTATAAGCCAAGTCACTAAAGGTGTTTTGGAAGGCATTGTGTACTTCGGCAATCCCTTCACAGCTGAAATCTTCCAAAATACCTCTTGGTTAATACAAGCGAATGCAACTTCAAGGTCAAGAAATTTAAGAAGTACTGGATGCTACTGATCGTGTCTTTCATGATCTGTCGAATAGTGGAAATCTGGTAAATGCATATTTCGGGTCCGAAACGTGTCTTCTTTCCTTGGATGTTTTTCTCTAGATCTATTTGGTTATTGTGTAGACACATTAATCAATCTGATCCTTCCGCGATTATCAAGAAAGTTTGTTACCCTTCTCATAAAGTAGGATTTCCAACAGTCTACTGTAGTTTGATGAACCAATGTCGGAAGCATATACAGTAGTTGGCATTTTATCGAGTGTAGTCAACGATTCCTTAAAACATTGTTTAAATATTTATAAAGACACCATTATGTCCTGGTCCTGCACCTCATTTTAGATTAAATGCAATCTTTGATAATGGTTAGGGATAAAGAACCAGTCCTATTCATTCGGCTCGGATAGTGGACAACTGCAGTGCAATTGTAGACATTTAGACTTCCTTTTGTAGGGCTCTGTCCTGAATAGTTATTGAATTCTATCTTTCCGGACACCATTTATTTTAATCTGTCTAAAATGTCTAAGTGATTTACGGACACTGTTTGGTGCTAATGCTGTTTCCACCTTAGTTCCTGCTAGTTATTATCTTTCTCTTAGTCGTCATGGGGACTTTTAGTCGATTTATGTTTCAGTAGTCTCACGCCCTCATCGTGTTCAGAGCATACTGAGAACAATCTCATTGTCAGTCAGTAAGGATGAGGGTGTGGTGACCCACTTGCTTTTGGTGGTTGCACGTTATTGTCTACTTTTACTTTCATTTGTGCAATCGATTATATCATGTAAAGCAGCGGGATGGGTATTGCCATCTTGTTCAGATAAATTTTTAACCAACTTTTCGCTACATGTTTCAGTTAGAAAGCTGGACACATGAAACGACTTAATGACTACTTGTTTTCTGCGTCTATCCAGTGAATGGACTAACATGTGATAGTCTGTATAAATGTAGGGAGTGGCAATCACCCACGGATACCCTCCATTCAGTTGACAATGTTAACTAACGGAGTATTATTCCATCTTATACGTGTACCCCCAGTACAATTTCTGATGTGGTTTTCACTTGCCTTTACTGGCTATTTGCATTCCACTGTTCATGGATTTATAACTGTAGAACCTGACGAAGTTATTGAAAACAACTGTTCGCGCAAAAATCTTATTGCGATTGGTAATTACCATCTACGTATACTGTTGAAGTTGGTTCACTCTTGGGACGTCTGCAAGAGAGAAAAGGTTGTTGTTATGTGAAGAGAGTGCCTTAGAAACTACTACCTGAGGCCGGTCACATATATTTGATAGAGTTTTTAGACTTCGCACCACTATAGGGTGCCGGGATTTAATTCCATTGTGAGTAAAATTTATTTTGATAAAGTCTCACAGTGTTATATAGTAATATTTACTGATGACGTTTCAAGCACAATTTATTGCTCATATCATATCACCTTAATATGATTATGGTCTGTATCAAATGGACTGATAGATCAACATTGAAACTTTCACACGTACGTCAATTCAAGTTATCTTACTTTGAAATAGCACACACTAAGGAAGTGAACATGAATACAATTGTTTCAGTAAAAGGTAATGGGAGTATTGGAAGAGAAATGAACAAGAATTGACGAAAATCAATGTCATAGTTTTGTTTTAAGTTTTGTGTAATACTAATATAAACTGATTGAACATATATGCTTTATATTCCATCTGTCGCACAATTATTAAGTGAGAAATTTTTTGACATTTTTTTCACCCCTGTTTTATAGGTGGTTTTCTGTAGAATATTTAAAACACAACAGAAAAATGGAACTTTGATGTCAATAATCTGCTTTTAAACAATTCATGATGGAACCCAGTAGATGTAAATAGTTGCAAGTAAGCTATTCTGAAATGCATCTTGTTTAATAATGATAATAATTTGTTTTATTACTAAACAGTACTTATAATGCAGTATGAAATTCCCAGTGTTCAGTAAAATACTGTATCTAATTTACTCAACAACAACAAAAAAAACATTATAGTGCAACCAGAATTGATAATTGCAGCTTTTTGTTAATAACAGTGACAATAAAGTCGAAAATATACAAAAATTGTATAATGATGATGGTAATGTTAGTAGCTAACGTTATAAGACAATTGAAATAGTGTCAGCAAAAATTACAGATAGGAAATGAAAAAGCCATTTATTTTGTACACTTGCCCTACTGACAACTTTTAATATCCTTCGCAATACGGCATTGTCCTTTTTGAGTAGCCCGGGGAATACTATTTGCAAGCAATAAGGAACAATAGACAAGATGCAAGAGTTAACAAATTGTAAAAGCAGAAGTTGAGTGGCTCCTAATCGTCTTAGTGCAAGAAGATATCGGATGAACAAGAAAGGTCAGAAAATAGAACTGCTTCATGTTATCTTGTGCTTTACTTAGTTGCTATTTCAGTGCCTTCTATGCTACAAACATATTTTGAACGGACAAGTTCGTGTAGATCACGTTTATGTCAGAAGGTGAAGTTGCCTGTCTGACATTTGGAAGAATTTAACATAAGACCTGTGTGTCTGTCTGTCTGGACTCAACATAAAACTTGACACCGAAGTGCAGCAGTTCGAGTTGCTACGTTCCAAATAGCACACAAAGGTAGACAAGAAGATGAGTGAAGAGAATCAATAGTTTTGACAAGTATAAGAGTGAAATAGAATGAGTAATGGTAGAAAGGAAATGAAAGATTATAGATACTGAATACATCTGTGCCATTGACAACGATTTTGAGCCATGTCACCTATTGCCTCCAGCCATTGATTCTTAGAGTCCCGAGGGCGGGTCCCAACCCGGAAGTCTGTATCTCCCTACCTGACTCAGTTTAACTGTCAAGGATTTCATGGATTGATGCCATGTTTTTGTTTGGCCACCACTTACTCTTTTCCAACCTGCACCTATATCAGCTAGTAATGCTCGTCGGGGGAGGCGATGGTTAGGCATGCGTAGCACGTGACCTAGCCATCTCAATCTATGTAACTTTATAGCCTCTTCGATTGATTTTCCCTCTTTGCCCAACACTACGCCTATTTATTTTTTTATTTTTTTAAATTATTTTATTCCTTCACGTTCCCAGTGGAACATAGGGTTTCAAGCTAGAGGCTTGAAGTTTCTGTAGCAGTGTTTATTTTTATAGGATGGGGTTGCTAGCCTCATGCCCAACCTTTCCTCTTCACCAGCTTTAGTTCTGGCTTAGCGAGGTAAAGGAGTGCGTCGGCCGGGGATTGAACCCCGGACCATGTGCATGGTCGGCGAGCGTCCTAACCGCTATGCCCAACACTACGCTTAACGTCAACATTACTTACCTTATTATACCACCTAACGTGAGAAAGAGATCGTAGACATCTATGATCAAAAACAGTCAACCTTTTCATGTCTTCAACTCGTATTGGCCATGTTTCAGAGTCATAGAGAAGGACGGAGCGAACTGCTGAGCAGTACACACGTCCCTTGGTTGATAGTGGGATGTCACGCCTACGCTAGAGACGGTGTAAGTTAGCGAAAGCAGCTCGAGCTTTTGGGATCCGTGCTGAGATTTCGTCGCCATACATAAGATCACTTAGCTTAGACCACTGGTTGATGTTCAACAAAGAGCTATTAAGTTTGGAACAGTCAGATCGGCACGTAATTGGTGACGAAACCATCAAAACATCAGCGTATTTAACGAAGTTGATTTCTTCTGAAAGAGGCGATTCATTTAAGAAGAAAGAAAAATGAAGATGAGAGAGACCAGCCCCTTGAGTGACTCCACTTTCAGTAAGCAAGGTAGAGAGACATTTTTCTCTGTATACAGCATACTTCATTGTGTTAGAAAAATAAGGATGCGACCAGTTAACAACCCAGGACTCAGTTTGTGTCAGTTTATTTAACAAAATACATCTGGATACAGAGTTAAAAGTGGATATGCAGTCAGGAAAGGTACATCGGACATATTTGTCTCCTTCATGTAGGCTCGACAATAAGGGAAGGTTGAGCGGGAAGCGATCATTCCCACCCCGTAGAAAACGACATCGCTTTTGAAACTTCGAAGCTCCAGCTTTGAGCCTTATTTTCCACTGGGAAAACAGACGAATGTAGAAAACTATGTATAAAAATCCCAATATTTTATATCAGTTTTCGAGACTATTTGATCAAAACAGTCAAAATTATCATCTGTAGTTTAATGGTCTGACTTCTTTAAACTATATGGAAATGTACATTCATTCACGCACCTTATCAGTATTTGTTTTCATCTTGCTAATTGTACCATAGATAATGCATACAGTAGACTTACCGGTGATTACTGTGTGTAATAAGTACCCCTCTGTGTATTTATTGCACCCCGGTCCAAGCCAGTGCATACCTTGTTTCACTTGTGATGTTTTGAGTAGCTACGTATCATCAGTCAAAAAGGCGTATGAACCGAACTCCGGTCACCGGCTACCAATGGATAGTGGACTCCCTACTCCACTCCTACTGCCTTGTAGGTCACACTTGGTTGTGTAAAGGCTAGAGCTGCACTCTCAAACAAAAGGCCGAGCGATTCTGGGGAAATCACTCGTACCGAATTCCCATGAAACTTCATGAACTCTCTTGCATCAGATCGCCGCGCCTGGGCAGCGATGATTCGAGATGTTCATGAAGCCGGCTCATCCTCCCGTAGGAGATAGCCGAAGTAAAGTAAAGTAAGTATCATCAGTCTTCACACAAAAGTGTGATTAATTATCACGTACTTATAAGAATAGTACATGGGTGCCTTGGTAGAGTATAATTCGATTCTATCATATCAAGTTTATATGAATATGGGCAATAAATTATGCTTGAAATGTCATCAGTAAATATTACTGCATAACACTATGAGACTTTATCAAAATAAATTTTCCCCATAATGGAATTCTCACTTACCTAATCACTCAACTATTTGATGAGTTCTCATTTGATTCTTTTCATCTATCTGTCTGTCTGTTTTCGACATATAACTTTGCACAAATGTGCGGCAGTTCAAGTCGCCACACTCCATGTAGCACATAAAGCAAGAGAAGAAAGTAGGAAAAATGCATATTAGAAACAGTAAACAGAGGTGTGAGACAAAGGAATAGTAATAACGAAGAATAAAACAGTTTCATTGGAAATCATAAGTCACAAGGAGTGAATGCATCTGCGCCATTTATTTCATAATTTCAGCATACCTTCCATACTTTGAGTTTTTATTGACATATGTAATGCATGTGCCTAATGTTGCTTCATTTTTTATTTATTTTTATCGCATCGACATCTTCAAGGTTCGGCTTCTTTCATGTATTTTTTTTTTCAAAGATTCCCTTTTTGAAATTCTTTATCAAATATATATATATGAAATGAACAAGAAGAAATTATACCTAGCTACCTCCTTGGAGGAGTTGAAAAAGCTTTCAAAAATAAATATTCGATCATCTGCACCTGAAGTTCTTAAGCGTGAAATGTCTTTGATAAAGTGTCAAGCTAATGAAGTTTGGGAGCATGATGAAGAGCGTGCCTATGTACTCTTTATGAAATACTTTGAGTACTATGATAAATTAAGACAAATAACAGGTAAAAAAGATAGTGTAAGTTTCAACATGCCTAAATTACTGATTATTTCTCTAAAGATAATACTTAAAGATGATTTACTATGTGCTGTTGAACGTGCTGAAACTTTGCATGTCAATCTAAAGGCGAGATATAAGAGTTTGAAAAGTCCAACTGTACCTGAACCAGAGAAATCTAATGAATCCCCGCCTGATCTTGAACCAGGTAAGTTCAATTTATTGAGCATTATGGTTATGTTAATTATGGTAAATAGAGAAACCACCTCCCACAATCAGCTCACGATGGATACAATCGAATGACTTGGCAGAGATTATTAAGAAGCAACAAAATTTCCTTCTGATGGATGTCCGTACAGTATCTGAATTTGAACAATGTCATATAGCATTCGAGAACATGATCAACATTCCTTGTGATATTTTACAACGTGGGTAAGTAACTTAGATTCGCATATGCTTTCTTTTACATTCATCTGTAAGTCATGGTTGGATGAATTTCTACGGCCATGTCATGTCTCATGTTTTAGTAGGTGTTTCTCACCATAGGTTATTATCGTTGAATTAACCAATGAGGATGAGGATCATCCAATCCCTGTTGAGATATTTTTTGGCCAATAGGCTGTCTATCTAAACATTGAACTTTCCAACAGTGGGTTGCATGCTCAGAGCCTCTCTGATTCACTTGGGTTTGAACAACTGAATAGTGCCATTATGCGTCTGGAATTACGATATCTGAATTTTGAATACATACGATGGAGACAGCAATTTAAAACAGCAGTTGATTTTCAACGGTTTGCATCATCATACTACCTTAGGATGGTCGGGGGTGGGTGCCTTGCGCTGCGGGTTGGCCACCCCTCCGCACACCTCTTGAAATGCTCCCATATGACCGGGCGTCTTACATAGCCTCTCCTGAGGAAGTCCTACTCACTACCTTCACGTGGCGGAGGGGTTTTTCACCAAAGTGAGAGGGCGAAAGCGGATGCCCGGCGCTCTTCACCGGGTTGATTGTCCATTGGATGACAGTCTAGGAGAGATGGCTAAACCCTCATTCCAAACCTCCAACGACTGACGTATGAAGCTCACTGGAGCTCACCGGCAGACGTATGGACAAAGGGCTGGTTGGATGTCCTGGATGTCTGGCCCCATTCAAAAAGGCGTATGAACCGAACTCCGGTCACCGGCTTCCAATGGATAGTGGACTCCCTACTCCACTCCTACTGCCTTGTAGGTCACAATTGGTTGTGTAAAGGCTAGAGCTGCACTCTCAAACAAAAGGCCGAGCGATTCTGGGGACATCACTCGTACCAAATTCCCATGAAACTTCATGAACTCTCTTGCATCAGATCGCCGCGCCTTGTCAGCGATGATTCGAGACGTTCATGAAGCCGGCTCATCCTCCCGTAGGAGGTAGCCGAAGTAAAGTAAAGTAAGTACTACCTTGAAGCTAAATGTTTTTTTATTTGATCAATTAAACTGTGAAACTTTACTTTTGTATTGCGGGTTATTAACGTTTTCAGGCACATTGCGGAATTTACATTCACCTAGTAAGGTAGGGATTTAGATTAAGAAAGCTGATACGTGATTATATGAATGATTAAACCTATATACTTTTAAGAACATGAAGGGAAGATTGTCTTGATGTTTATAGGCTTGAAAAACTCTTAATTAACGTCATGCCGAAATTGTTAGGTCTCTCCAATAGAAACGTAGTTCTCGAACAACTGTTTTATTGTTTCATAGAGAATGAGTGAGTAGTACTGCAGAAATTGAATTTGAGTCTTGGTAACTGGGGACAGACAGCGTTAATATTGTTGAGAGTGTGGTGTTTCAATGTATGTGAATTGGTAGGTATATATCCTTTCGCCTGAGATTCTTCCGAATTATTTTCGGATATTCATGTTTGTTCAAGCATTTCTTCCAGAAAGGGGTTCGTTTTCACCGCAGAAGGTTTGCGGAAAAATTAGCAGAAATTTGGTTACTTTCTTTGCTGTAGTGCTTTTGCTGCTATTGTTTAAACAACAGACAATATCCAATTCAGTTTACAGGATGGGGTTGCTAGCCTCATGCCCAACCTTTCCTCTTTGCCAGCTTTATTACTGGCTTAGCGAGGTAAAGGAGTGCGTCGGCCGGGGATCGAACCCCAGACCGCATGAGGCGTGGTTGGCGAGCATTCTACTGCTGTGCCACCGACGCACAGCGATTCAGTGCTTTGATATAAATTCTCCGACTTGACTGAGGATGCTAGTGGGCTTAGTATTATTATTATTCCCACAGGGCTTCAGCACCACACACCCATTTCGTTCTCTTTTCTGCAGTCGTTTTAAGCTGACTCCCCGATTGCTCCATGTCATTTGTGTGACGTCAATCAACAGTGTTGTCGGCGTATGTCTAATCCATCTCCATTTCTTTCGTGTATTTGTTGGCGATAGGTTCTTGGTTGGTTCGTTTCCAAAGTTCTTTGTTGCTAGTTCTCCCTCCCTATCTGGTCTTCAGTATAGAGCAACGACAGCTGTTTACTAAAGTCTGAAGCATGTTCGAAATACTTTCCGTGACGTGCCAAGCGTCTGAACTATACAGAAGCAGTGACCTGAGATTAGAGTTGAAAATGGGAATATTTTTCCTCGTACTGAGTGCAGTAGAATTCCAGGCTCATTTCTGTGACTTCCTCATCCATGTCATTTGTAGTCGAGACACTGCTGTTTGAATAAGTGAAAGAAGTGACTTCCTCCAAATTTCTCTTGTTGATAGTGGTCAGTGCCTGTTGTTGTTGTTGGTGGTGGTGACTGGTATCTTGATTACCTCTTTCTCAACTATGTTCACTTGAAGTCTTGTCTTCGCTGCTTCTGCTGCCAACTTGTTGGTTTTCGCTTGTAGACCTTCGAGTTTGTGTTACGTCTTACATAAGTTGCCTGTGTGATTCAAATCTTCTATAGTCTTTCTGTCGGCCTTACGTACTGCTGTCCTCTCGCTCCCCATAGTCTTCTGCATGATCCAGTCGACCGCAATCAGGAATATCATCGGTGATAGTAAGTAGCCTTGTCTGTCTTCACTCCAAAGGCTTTGCTGAGCTTTCCATTCTGAATCACTTGACATATTTCGTGTTCATAAAGCTGTTGAACAACGAGGTTGATAAAGGTTTAGGGTAGTCTGTAGTGTTGAAGCAGTTTCTAGATTACTTCACAGTCAACGCTGTCGAAAGTCTTTCTAGAGTCGATGAAGTTGAGGTTATAGATTTGATTGTCATTCGATGCTCGGTGCAAAATAATAATCACAGCTTTATTCTGGACGACACGTTTATACACATTATAGAATTCTCAGTCTTTTATTGCTGAATACATACTCCTTTTACACAATCTCTAAATAAATTAGTAATCGACAGCATGTCATTTAACGTAATATTGTTCAGTCTGAAATACTCCCTGACTCACTCTCCACTACATTTTTCTATTTTCTAAAAATACATAGTAGTAGGTTAAAAGCTATTTAGAATTTGGGGGGTAGGTGTAGATTATCATACAAAGATGTCATTGAATTGTTAAAACAATATGAAATGGAGAAGATTTCATCAGTTGTGGTAGATAGAAAATCAGGTAGTTCAGTGATTTAAGCAGGCGAATGCAAAAGTGTTGGTCATGAATATAATTATTTAGAGAAGGGGTCTAGCTTCAGTCTTATGTGTTGCTGCAGACATTTAAAGCTAACTGTTTTGAATTTCTGCCTTGACCTCTAAAATTACACGAAGCAAATAGCCTGGTGTTGGAATGATGACCACTGGTACATATAGCTACGCTGTAGGGGCTGACCGTAATGCTGACAAACATCCAATCTAAGGTTACTGGTTCACGTGATGAGAATGTTATAGCATAAAGTATCCCATTGTTTGCTACCACTGGTTTTATTTTCATTCCTTTGTATTCAGGGTGTAACTTAGGGTTTCAAGCTTAAGCTTTAAAGTTTCAGTAGCGATGGTGTAGTTTCTGCTGGGTGGTATTGCTAACCTTCCTCATTAAAGCGCTTATCGCTGGCTAAACGAGGTTTGGAAGTGTATCGTCGCGCACGACGTGGATAGTTGGCGAGGATTCTACCACTGAGCCGCCGACTCAAACTCTCGGCCTCTAATTTACTGGGCTAATGCGCTGACGACTGAGGTGTGGGTGGGGACAAGTGGCTCCCTCACTCAGAGTCGAACTGTGATCTCTTGGGTCGGGTTCAGGAATCCTAACTGTTAAACGGCGTGCAAAATTACTGCCTTATTCTGTCTTAATCGACTTTTATGTTGATTTTGACATGCGCAGCAATAAGTATTATATCAATACATTTTGACTACTAGGTTGGAGACTTTAATTCTTTATTGTTTTCACATCAGAACGATGATAAAGGTCATTATTTATTTATCATTTAATTATACTAACCTATGAATAGAATGACTGTCAGTGTAGGGTGTTAATACTTCGTCATGCCACAGTTATTGAACAACTGACGAGTATTATTTATGTTCCTCCCCTCAAAGTCACAAGTAACACGCCTACACAAACGCTTCAACAAGCATTGTATCTCATGTATTGTTTCTATTTGTATCGTATTTGATAAGGCAATATCTGTGTATGACAGCGACAATGAAAAATGAAGTCTGTTATTACTATTTTTGTCAAAGTTTTGAGTTAACTGATAATGATTATCTGATTTTATGTTTTGGTAGTGTATATTTTATGTTAACTTTTAAAATTTTAGAGCTACTGTAAATACGATCTCTGATTACTTAAAACTGAATAGTACATTTAAAAAGCTTTGGGAGAATAGAGGTGAATTTGATGGTATAATACTATTGGATGAGAATGGCTTCGACTCTGATCTGTCCCCCGTGGACAAGAGTAATTGTTTACAAATTCTCAAAGATGCTATTTTTAAGGTAATATAGATTTCTGTTGCATTTTACATTATTTTCTATTTGTGTGTGTGTGTGTGTGCATGTGTGTTGTTGATATTTCGCATTACAGTCCTATGAAACATTTGACTGACTGATTTCAACATAGAACGTTGTAGAGAAGTGCACCAGTTCAAGTTGTCGCACACTCCGTTTAGCACACAAAGCAAGAGAAGAGAGTGAGGAGAGAAAGAGATGACTAAGGTTAGTAATATGGAAGAAGAAGAATAGATTTTCGTTGGATGTGACGGATCACATCTCGGTCGGTCGGTCGGTTTTCGACATAGAACTTTGCACATATGTGCGGCAGTTCAAGTCGCCACAATCTATGTAGCACGCAAAGCAAGAGAAGAAAGTAGAAGAAATGCATAATATAGACAGTAAACAGAGGTCTGAGACAAAGGAATAGTAATAACGGAGAACAAAAGTTTAATTGGAAATCATAAGTCACAAGGAGTGGATGCATCTGCGCCACTGAGAACGATTTTGAGCCATGTCACCAATTGTTTCCAACCATTGGATCACATCTAGTTCTAACTTGAACATCTCTGCATTTTATAAGTTTTGTATTTCACTTTTGCCTTCAATAACAGTGTGTCGTTCAAGATGTAGTTTTGATTGAGATAGGAGGGTACGGTACACTTGTCAGCAGCTATAATTAATGTTGTCTGTTACGAAGACTGATACATTGTTCATTTTCAGCCATTGGTGACTTCAGGGATCAGGTTGTAGGCGAGTTCACAACAGGACATTCTTCAACGTTCTTTCTACTTCCGAATCGACGATAAACTTACATGTTTCACTCATTTACATTGATTATATACATAATGAAGTATTTCTGACAAATATGACACACCTGAATAGTAGAATGCAATGTTTTTGCTAATATAATGGCGGGAATCTTCATGCAAAGCTGTAGTATCTTCGTTGTAGAAGTATTAGTCGAACTTCCTGTCATATGATTTTCTCATATATACAAAGTGAAAGTTAGTTGAAGAGAATTTCATGGTATCAGTTATTCCTGGAATAAGTTATAGGAAATTAAAATGAGAGGTGAAGTATGTTGTATGATAATTATTCAAATAGTGCACACTATTCTGAAGTCAAGTAAAAAGTGCCATTGAATGTCGACTGATTGGCTGAATGGTAGCATGACCATTTTGTGAACTGACGGTTTTAATTTAAGGTGTTGGTTTGCAGGGAATTTACAGGTTCCAAGTTTGGTAGCGATCAGACAACTATTGAAAAACGGGAGTGTTGAATATCAGGGTCCACCACCACCAAATTGGGTTTGAAATCAAATAATCGGTGATGGTATTTACTGAATGTTGGGCTACATAGCTCGATTGTCAGAAGTTACAATTGATGGGTGCCGTTCATTCCTGTGGCTGAGTAGTCAACGAGCTGTCCTTTTAACCTAGAGGTTTTAGGTTGGATCCATGATTGGGTCATGGATGCGTAGGGGTTTTTATGTGTGATTTCTCATGAAGAATAGTAGTACTTTACTACATTTTCGACATGCATTTTATGAGCATTCCTATTAAAGGTTCGACACATTTTTCAGCCTCTCGATTTCTCAGCCTTGTCTATTTTTCTGTCGTCGTTTGATTTCAAACTATTGATTGGTAACAACTTGATGATTTTTGGCTTGATACTTAATTGGGTCATGTTTGCTGAGTGTCGAAGAGTGCAAAACTAGGACAAGGTAACTTCAGTGCCCTGTGATGCCAGGGAGGTCTCTCTGATTGATGTTAGGTGGTAAGGAAGCTTTTCACTAAAACATTCTAATCATCCTCACAATTCCCATATTTGAGGGTGAATGTTGTGCACCAGTTTAGAGAGAAACTATGGAAAATACTGGGATGGTTTCTAAGAGTGAAATCTGTTGTAGGGATGTTCATAATAAGGATGGTGACTTTATTGGGAACCTGGGTAAATACAAGTGGATATGTATATATCTTCAGATAATTATTTTACTTGATAAACTTGAACAGAGCAAGAACACATTGATGAGGTAACATGACGTCATAATATTTCGTTGGATTTTGTTGGTTGCATACACCCATAAACGATTTAATATCGATGTAGAAAATATTCACATACTTTATGTATTGATTATAAAGGTGATAGATGCTATTGTCAGATGACTAAATAGTATGATGGAAAGGAATAAAATTCGTTGTTAAGCTTGGTGTTATGCAAGGAATACATGGATTAGGTTTTCATGTGTTTAACGCCTTCACTTGCTGCTACATTTTGAAGACAGTAGTACCCTTTTCGTGAAATGTACGAAATGTTTTTAAACAACCAACTATGTTTATTTTCACCTGATAATAAGTCACACTTGTCCTGTAAGTTTCTATGGAACCATCTCGCTGTACAAGGCTCGATGGATAGAGAGAGGTTAGAAAGTACCTAAACCGATATGCTACAACTCCGTCCTGTCGGAATAAACGGAAAATGATCGAGGGTTTCATATAATTTGAGTGCTGTCTACCATAAAATTATCCAGAGTAGTTAAACGGATATTTAATTACACGTATCACTTATTCACGCTTCTTACGATTTTTCTCTTCTTTTAACACATTTGTTTTTCATCAAGTGGGATGCAGCGAAAACTATAACTATAGAGCCAAAAATGCTTGTCAAAGGAATGAAAGACTTTGCCTTGCGCTACCCACCACTTCTTATTCAAGCGGTCACAACGTCGTCAAATCAAACGGATTCCAAACGTGGTAGCTCTCAACTTCAAGGTAACTACCTAGTAGTGCTAAGTAATGACTCCGCCTCTTTTATTGTTAACATTTTATATGCATTTGTTTTCACAATCTAAATTTACTTAGCGCTCAGAGGGATACATCCTCTGAATTAGCAATGTACTGGAAATTGCTTTTAATACATTCTTAGCTGTACAATAGCTGGGTGTGTGAATGGTTCAAGAATTTGATCGGTATCATAACTTCTTTCATATTTCAATGAAAATATACCATAAGAAATATGGAAGTTAGAGGTTGTTCTGTTGAGGAATTTACCCCGTGAGAGTGAGCATGTGATTATTTTTATTCGTCAACTACTTTTCTCTGCTAGTTCACATGCCACATTCTTTAGTGCTGCACATGTTGGTTCGAGTTTTTGTTTACATAATTATTGGCCGTATGATTATGGACTATAGGTGACAGTGTTTTTTTCTCTCTTTTCTTTTTGATTGCAGTAGTGCTTATACTTTCCTATCTTCTTTTATCCTAAATTCATTGTTGGACTTTGGGTTATATTATTTTCATGCCTTTGTCGTTGTCTTTCGTTGTATTATCTCCTAGTTGTTGTGTGGATGTAAAGTGTAGCAATTTTGACGACTCTATGTGTGTGTGTGTGTATCCTAATTCTACGCCCTTTATCATAATAACTGACATGTCTGGTATGATGGTATTTTCAGAAGTAAAGACTGTAATCAAATCTTGACTGCTAGTAGTTACTTATACAAAAAAACACTTCTGTTTTTAGTATAAAAAAGATGGTACATAGCAAAATTGTGGAGTTACTTCTAATACAGCTTAACAGTGCTGGTAGAGTACTCTTGACTGGTGTGTGTGGAATGTCCTTTATCACAAGCTGATTAAGGTTGACCGCGGGTGGGCTCAATCATCCAGTGTAAACACGCTTATCTAGTTCAACGTCAGGAAACCAAGTAATCTTGTTTCGTTTTGACTTCCAAGGAATTGTGATAAGAACTTTACTCTAGCCATGGTAAGGCAAGAGAATGTATGTATCACTTTTGTATGCAGAGGTCCGGTTTCACATCTCGAATAGCTAATGCTTCAGCTATGTACAGATGGCGAATCCGAAGTCCCTCTGTACGATATTGAGGGACTCTGTGTATCACTGTGAAGCATTCATGTGGGGGTGCTCGATGTCCAGAGATGACAAGGTGTTAGAGGATCGAGCTGTTGCTATTCTTCTTTTCTCCTGTGGATAACCAAGCTGGGCAGTGTTCCAGAATACGTTTGTGGACTTGACGTTGCGTACGGCCTATATACTTTGCTCCACACGAGCAAGTAAATTGATAAATACATATTGAGGTGGCCAAAAGCGGTATCTTGTCCTTAGCGTTAGACTGGATTAACTGTCTGCAGAAGAATTGACTGGCTTACCAATAAAAAAAGGACCTTGTTGATTTAGAGCGTTGAGATGATATTTTCTTTTAAGGTGGTGAAAAACGGATAATATGCAGAGGCTTCTAATGAAAGCTTGGACGGAAAATCTACTTATGTTTTGAGAATGCATTCTCCTCTTGTTAGAATTAAAATGATATTATGGTAATGTTTGCAGAAGACAGGCAGTATTTTTATTTTTATTATTATTATTACTCCCTTGGGTTCGGAGTGGAACAAGGGCTTCAACAGAACATCTTCATTTCACCCTGCTATCTTGAGTGCTTTTTACCTAACTGCACGACTGCCCATAAGGTTTCATCTCCTTCTCGAACTGTCCCCTCCATGTCACTCTCGGATTTGTCAAACTTGTCGTTTCTTGTTCGGGTTCCGCTTGAGTGCCGGGCGCGTGCTGTCACTCAACGGTCTCCTCAGCGTGTGTGTCCAATCCATATCCATTTCCTTTGGCATATTTGTAGGGCAATAGGTTTTTAGTTGGTTTGTCACTAGAGTTTTACCTAACCTCAAAATCGTTCTCAATGGCATACATACATGCACTCTTTGTTATTGCTGAAATCCGCACTAAATCACCATGTTTCCCTATGTTATTATTGTTCCTGCTGTACATTTCTGCCCATTATAGTTCTTTTTCTCTACTTTTGTGTGCTACGCTGAGTGTGACAACTTAAACGGCTGCACTTCTGTGCTAAATCCTTCATTGATAATCAATTGTCTCTCTGTTTTCGACATAGAACTTTGCACGTATGTGCGGCAGTTCAAGTCGCCACACTCCACGTAGCACACCAAGCAAGAGAAGAAATTAGAAGTAATGCATAATAGAGACAGTCAGTTGATGTGTGAGACAAAGGGATAGTAATAACGAAGAACAATATAGTTTCATTGAAAATCATAAGTCACAAGGAGTGGATGCATCTGCGCTAGCCATGGAGAATGATTTTGAGCCATGTCACCAATTGTTTCCAACCATTGGTTTTTACCGTCCCGAGGACCCCAACCAGGAAGTCTACACCTTCCTACATGGCTGGCTTAAACTAACTGTTGTGCATTTCATTGACTGATGAAGCCATGTTTTGGTTTGACCGCCACTAGCTGTTTTCCAGCCTGACCCTATATCAGCTAACATTGCCCGTCGAGGAAGGCGATCAATGACTAGGCATACGTAACACACGTCCTAACCATCTCAGTCGACGTAATTTCACAGCCTCGTCGATTGATTTCCCCTCCTTACCTAGCACTCGGCGCCTAACCTCAATTACTCACCGTTGTGTAGTATGACATAATAAACGGTTTTTCCTTAGCAGATAAACCTTTGTGCGTAGTGTAGACGTCATGTTGACTACCATTCCTTTGGTCACTTTTTATTTAATCAAGTTAAACATCATCATGTTCAACTGAAAAATAACAGACTATTAGTTGCTGTCATAAAACTAACTTTCATTTTGTATCATTTATCTTCTAATTTTATTATCAAGCTTCTAAAGTGAAATATCCAGATTTGAATATACGTGAAATTAAAAGTGAAGATAAATTGCCTACTGTCAACTTGGCTGATTTGTTAGCTTCTCAGAGTAAAAATCCTGCGTTATCTTTTAAAAGTATTCAAAATGGACGTGGTGTAGTGCAAAATGGAACAAATCCCGGTGTACAACGTCCACCACCACCGCCTAAACCACCGGCGTTTACCGGGCGTGTACAGTACACTCCAAAGATGCTGCCTTCACAGTCTTCCGAAACCTCACTCACCAATCTTAGACAGAGTATTACACAAGTAAGTACTTCACAGTCTTAATTTCCATCATAATTTTTAAGTGTCAGTGTGTAGAAATTGGATTAATTTTAAGTGTGATCACGGATTGATATCTATTAGAGAATCATGCGAAATCAGGGATAACTGGGCGGTAAAAAATTGCCGACTAACAGAAGTTGAAATTCATGGGCCACTGGATTCCGTCTGACTGGTTGAATAATCAATAAGCCTGTCTTGTAACCTGAAAGTCCTAGGTCCGATCCTCCCGGTGGGATCGTGGCTACCCACTGATGGAGTGTCTCAGAACTAGGACGAAACAGTTGTCTGGTACTTTTTGACTTTCATCACAATGCTCCTTTTTGATAAATTTATTGTAAATATAGATTTTTGTAATTTCACAGGAATCAGTTTTGTTACTAGCTTGTGAAGTTAGAATTCAATGGGTAATTTGACACTTTGATGTCAGGTGATCGGAAATATCGAACACCTGTTTGAAGAACTCCAGTAAATCTTCCATCCTTAGGTAATCTTATGTTCTCACCACTTTGGTGGTAGTTGTGTACTACAATTATGTAAGCCAGCCAACTCTAGCACTTCTGATTTTTCTCTGTTGATGATGATCTGTCTGTCTGTTTTCACCATAGGACTTTGCACCGATATGCGGCAGTTCGAGTCGCCACACTCCATGTAATTTGAAAGCCTCGTCGATTGGTTTCCTCTCCTTACCTAGCACTCGACCGATGCCTTACCTCAATATTGCTCACCTTATTATACCACTTCACACGGGAGATAGAACGCAGACACCTATGATCACTTATCATTTGCCTTTTACCACCTGTTTCCCTGATAAGCCTAAATAGTTGTCTGATGTTATCAATCGTCGATGCCTTTTCCATCTCTTTCGCTTTTGTCGCCCACCACTGTTCGCGGTCGTTGCGAAGACTTCTTGTTAGTTTTCCTTTGAGTAGCTTTCGCTCCTCATCATAATCGGAGCTCGCCAGAATCAGTTTTCTTGAGTCAATCATTTCGGATGAGGCGGTAGAGATCCAATAGCTTTTACTAACTTTTGGTTTTGTGTTATTAATAGCTTTTACATCTGTGTTCACAGCTAACTGTATGTTGTGCCAGGCTACCGCAGGGGAAGTCCTCCTGTTGATGATGATGCCAACACTCTAGACATTGAGATGTGGCGAATAGAAAAAAAAGCAGAAATGTTTCAAATTGAGAATTTTTATAATCTCAACTGAAGATGAAATTGATGTCTAAAACTTCTTGGCACATATATAAATGGTTTCCAGCGTGGTAGGAAAATAAAAGCGCAGATAAATTACACTTACCATTAACAATTAAAGAACTGTTTTGACTGGAGTAAAAGTGTGTGAAAATAGCACATTTCAGCCTATGAAAAAGTGGAGTGTAGGCATTTTTTAGAATAAATTTGATCATTTTGAACACTTTTTCCTCGTAAAAATATTCACTTACATTCTTCTGCCATTCACCACACACAGATTCAGTGGTTGTTATCTCTGAAGTGTCAAAACTACCGCTAGCTGGAACTTTGCTTATGAGAAGCACATTAAGTTGCGATTACGTGTAGTAGTAGTGTAACAACAGAAGACAACGGCCAGGCAACAGATCGTTTATTAAGGAAATCAACGCATATTTATATATTTTCATGTACATTACTATGGATATTTAAGCAAACAAACACAGTCTTCCGATTGGTTGTTTCTTACTTGAAGTTTATCTCTTTGTGACTATTTCTTGAATGTCACATCATCTATATGTTAACTGCATCCGCCTACGCAAAGTCTGCTGTGGTCGGTTTTTGAATCAGTCTTGTTCATATTTTCTCACGACCAATCTTGAGAACGTAAACATTGACGTAAATTGCTGTCTACCAATTTGGCTAGTAGACAGCTCTCACCACAGTAGTAGTAGTAGTACACAGTTGCGCTTGCCAAAGTGTGATACCCATGTTCAGACTAAAACGGTCCATTTCAGTTGGTAGTGACTAGCAGTGGAATCTAAGATGTGCATTTCGTCCTGGATGTACCTGCACTCCCAGTGAGTGAGTGGTGACGTTCCCACTGGGACTCGAACTCTGCACAGATTGGTAAATACTCGCCCTGGATTCCACCGCTAGTCACTACTAGCCAAAAATAACTTCACTGTTATCCTCAGACATCGGCAGAGCGTTCGTACTAGCTAGGGGACGAAATGTCAACAGAGACCGAGCACTTCGGTTTGACATAACCAACCAACTGGAAAGGCAAATTGAATCTGAAAACACAAACGAAATAGTCCATACTGACTCATTTGCATTTGTGCTTTTGTATTTTATTTCGACCACCTAATTTTGTCATGTGTATTCATATGTTGCCTTTTGTGTAGTGTGCCTTTTGCTGTGTTTTTTGGGGATATTTTCTGTCCTGTGTTTTAATATATACATCAAACTATGCAGCAGAGATGAGATTACCAAAATTTAGTTTGATTAGACCTATTCAGTATGTAGTTTCGGGAAAATAAATGAAACAGCCAGTAAAATAACCGAATTACATCAGATTACATAATGAATAAAAATTGTTATTATTATTTCCTTTAATTCCTAGAAGAACATAGGGCTTCAGCGGCGCGTCTCCATTGCGTTCGGTTCTCTGCTAGAGATATCTTCCTGGCTCCAAGTCTGCCCACATGCTTTCATCTCCTCTTCACATAACTTCCTCCAAGTCACTCTTGGACTGACGACCAACTCGCCTCTTCCCTTTCGGGTTTCACTCGAGCAATGGCTTGTCTAGTGATGTCACTTGATGGTTTGTTTCCTCAGAGTATGGCCAATCCATCTCCATTTCTTCCTGCTTATTTGTTGCACAATCGGTTCCTGGTTGGTTGGTTCGCCGCCAGAGATCTCTGTTGCTGATCTTTTCTGGCCGGCCATCTGATCTTGAGTATTGAGCGAAGACAACTGTTAATGAAGGTCTGTATTTTGTTTGAGATGCTCTTTATGACGCGCAGTGCAAGTCTCTGATCCGTATAGTAGCAGTGACTGGCTTTACATTGGAGTTGAAAATCCGGATCTTATTTTTGATGCTGAGTGCTGTTGACCTCCACACAGACTTGAGAGTAGTGAAAGCTTGTCTTGCTTTTCCGATTCTTGCTTTGATATCCTGGTCAGTTCCGTCTGCCTGTAGTTGAAACGATGCTTCCCAGGTAGGTAAACGAGGTTGTTTCTTTCAGGTTCCTCCCATTTATGCTGATTGTTGTCTGTTGTTGTTGTTGTTGCCGGTGGTGGTGTTGCCCAGGGATCTTCATCACTTCTGTTTTCTCTATGTTTACCTGAAGTCCTATCTCTCATGCTTCTTGTGCCAACTTGTTGCTTTTCGCTTGCATATCTTCCAGTTTGTGGGAAATCAGACATAAATCATTGGCGAAGTCCAGATCCTCCAAGTTTTTTGTGTGTGTCCATTTTATGCCTGTTTCCTCATTGCCCGTTGTTTGTCGCATTATCTAATCTACGGCAATCAGGAAAATCATTGGCGATAGTCGGCAGCCTTGTCTTACTCCTGTCCTCACTTCAAAAATTAATATCTCTTATGATTGAGTGATTGTATAAGTTATTAGAAAGCAAACTTAACACACTTTTGTTTCAGTATGCATGAATAGGTATGAGCAGGAGTCGGGCAACTACGAATTGAGTTTCCCCAGGTAGTAGTTGGTCTTGTGTGATTTTGTATTGTGTTTAGAGGAATGCTGTAATAATCTTATCAGATATTACACTTGGGTTTCTTACACAGCACAGCATTTGCCATACTATGTGCGAAAGCACTCCATGATGATAGCCCTTATCATCTTCATCGATACTTGGACACCGTCACGCATCAATTCTGAATGCTATACTTTACTTCGGCTGACCTAATAAGAAGTCAAAAGTGCATAAGAAAAGAAAGGAGCTGCAATTTGACTGCAGAAATATTTGCCTTTCATTTGGCATTTTTAGTAAGATACACAATCTACTAATCTAGTAGTGATAATGTTGTTAACAATCAACATATTTAGAGGGCTGAGGTAATCAAGCAAGAAAATTAGAGTGAAAATTGAATGGTAGGAATAATTCCACCGTAAAATCATTAAAATTAAAATAGGTCGTTACGTAAACCGTAGTTTGTATGAATAAAATTTAGAAGAAGAATAAATGAATGATCAATTTAATATGATGGTTATACTAACAATGGTTTGTTATCACTATCAGAAGGGAACGAAGGACTAGTAATTTGTGTTTATGTTGACGATGGCAAAGGCAAGATAAGTGGCTGGCTATATTTACATTTACTCTAAATACACAGGTTTCGTTGGGTTCCAGTGTTTTCTGCTACATGGGAATAATGAAGTCTTAGAGGAGAATTACGATGTGTAGGAATGCGGTTAATAACTCTCAGCACTTTGCAAACACATCAATTCTATTCCTATTATCGTCAAGATGTACTAGAACAAAGCTACGAATCAACTTTGTTCACCCATTGTCTATCCATGCAAGATGATATTCGGTGACTCAACAATGAACATGCTTAGTTGTACGCCCAATCTAACAGGCTCTGTAGGAGGCGAAATAGGTTAATTTGTTCTTATTTCTTGAATGTAGTATTGGTTGAATTATGAAATGATAGCATAATTCTTGTGCAATGAATGCTTTTTATGCCATTATTTAAGCTTTATTTTACAACTGCAAAACTACATTTTTAAGGCGAGTAGATTTCTTGGAGCTGTCGATACACTGTTTTCCCAAACGGGGGGGGGGGCAGTTTCATAATTTTATCTAGGAATAACTGTGGACATCCATTTTCGCTGAAGAATTCACGGAGAATCTAAAGTTCGTCACAGATTATTCTAGGTAAACTCCTCACTGAATGGATTGCGTTTATATTTTAAAGGTACAAAGATGAGTTTACTTTTCTTTTAATGTTAGTTTTCTATATGTAGTTATGGAATAATGGTGATGCGGTGAAGAAATGAATGAACGGATTAAAGGATAATGCTGAAAGCATAATTAATTTATGGAAGTGATAAGATAAGAAGTGAATTTAAGCAAGTCACTATGGCCCCCAGACCTTGACCCCCCCCCCGCTATATCACCTAAGCGCTCACAAATCACACGCATTTCAAATGATTACGATAATTATTCAAGTAAAGTGTGTTAAGATTTCTATCATCACAACTTGTTTCTTTCAAATAATAATAATAGTAATAATAATGATATAATTATAGGTTATACTAAATTGTCATTTTAACCTATTGATTTTGTTTAGCTTGATCGTCAACATAGTCTTGTATCGAACTTGTCAAATTTGTCATTGGGAAAACTTGATTTAAGGTAAGCACGCTGGTTAATGTTTCTCTGTTCATTGAATCTAAATCAATATGGAGAGTTTGCATTTGTTATTTGAAGTATACTCAATAAATCACCTTTGCTTTTCAAGAGTTGATTTGTTTTAGAGTTTGATCACGGATCGGCATCAGTTAGAGAACCATTGAAAATTAGGGACACCTGTTTATATCCTAGTTTGGGAATCATCATCGGCAGTATGCCACCCACTGGGATTTCGAACTCTAAAAGCAAATCAAATCCTTACAAATCGACTCTTGAAAAATTAATCTGATGCTCGCTAGAGGACAGAGTTTCCTGGAGTGTTCTAGTGAGAAGTCGTGACCAGTGTGTTGCATCCGGTCGGCATGTGAGGATGGAGTTCCCGCCGATGACATTTTCTGATGGTCGCACTATAATCATGAATTGGTAGAAGTTAGAATTTGTGGGTTGGTCATTGAATCGGGTCCTAGTGGCTGAATGGTATACGAGCTCGCTAGCCTTGTAACCGGAAGGTCCTGGGTTCGAACCCTGGTGGTGTATGCGATGCGTGTCGATGATTCCGAAAACAGGATGAAACAGCCGTGCAGTACTCCTTGCTGGTTTTCAATGGTTGTCTAACTGATATCAATCCGTGGTCAAACTCGAAAAACAAATCACTCCTATATCATCCATGAGAATTCATCTTATGGTTTTTTTTAATGATAATCTTTAAATTAAATCGGTCTATTTGTCATAATAATTTAAAGAGTAGACTTCCTAATTTGCATAAAACTGCTATATACTAATGATTGATTGATATGATCAGTAGTTGTATACCACCACTCATATCATCCAGTAGTGCTTGCTAGCCAGATCAAAGTGATCTTGGTAGGTACACCATTGATGAACTCGGCCCCAAAACTAATGGAATGGCAGTCCGGTATTTTGATCACCTCAGTCTGGTTAGCCAACACTAATAGGTGATGTGACTAGGATACACCTACTCATCGCAGTCAATCCGTGGTATTCACTTATATGCATTTATGCTTGTTTTCTTGATTTTTATTTAAATTGTTATTTAAACGCAGAAAAAACTTGGTACAATATGGCACCAAGAAAGATGCACCACACAATAATAATAAAACAACATAGATTAAAAGTAGAAATATAAGTAGAAAAAGGATAAAGAACTTCATCTGGAAGGAAAACAGTCATGCTTAACAAGTTCAAACAGTATTCGTTAACTATCATCATGAAGGGAAGAAAGAAGGAAATTGCAACACGTTCGCCATTGATTACGAATCTTGGGCATATCCGATAACGTTTCGAGCCATCGATTCGAGCTATCTCGCGGACCCCAACCAGGGAGTCGTGACACACCAACCGATGCTAATCTAGCACAAAAATCCTTCATCCCACGACGCCACGTCATGGACTGACCACCCCTCCGCCTTTTCCATCCAGTTCCAGGGTTAGCGAACAGAGACCTGTACGGAAGCCTCTGGGGTGACATTCGTAGCACATGTCCAAGCCACCGGAGCCGGTGTCTCCAGATGACGATACTCAATGAATGATGATCTCCACTGTGTTCAAACACACGCTGCCGAACCTCAGAACTACTCAGGCAATGATGCCATCGAACGCAAGCAATCCTGCGGAGACAGCGGTGATCGAACACGCAGATTCGCCTCACATCCTCAGCTCGGAGAGGCCAGGTTTCACAGGCGTAGAGCAGCGCAGCCCTCACCAAAGCATTGTATACCCGACCTTTGACAGCCAGGCTAACGTCGCGATGGCGCCAGAGGTGGCTCAAGTTGATGTATGCTACCCTAGCTTTCATTATACGGTTGGAAATCTCATCCGTCACCCCTCCGCCAGCACTCACACAACTACCTAGGTACACAAACTTATCAACAACTTCAAGCGGTTCACCCGCAAGAGTGAGTGTAGGTACAGGCTCTTGCCAATCTTGTAACAGTACTTTGCACTTAGACGGTGCAAAGCATATACCATACTTACAGACACTGATCGCCAACTGATTAAGTGCGATTTGGGCAGGCTGCATGCTATCGCACAGTAAGACGATATCGTCTGCATACTCGAAGTCGAAAAGTCTATCTCCAGGTAGCAGATCTACACCACCTTCACACACATCCTTCAGAGCTGACTCCAGAATGTCATCGATGGCAAAGTTAAAGAGAAATGGAGAGATTGGGCAACTCTGTCTAACCCCACTGTTTTCTTGATTACCTACTTATGGTATCAAGCAGATCACATACTAGCGATCTGAATAACTTGGTTTCCAAAGGGAAACCTCATTGAATTGTGTAAATCACAAATTCATTTACAAATTATGGATATGATTTACGAGACCTCCTTAATCTCTTCGAAAATAAGTGAGGAGTGATTATTAAAACTGTAGATTACTTACTACCTCATTATACTATAAGGATTACTGACTGACATGTGAGCAGTTGGGAACAATTCACCTGAACCAGCAGTAGTGTTTGATAGCCAGATAATGTAGATCAAGTGTAGAACTTCAGCACTGTAGTGGAATGTAATTCTAGACTAACTAATTTCTACGTAATGAAACAGAATCTAAAGGAAATTCAATTAGACAAAGATGAGAAAATGATTAGTTTTGATATTACCACTTTGTACACTGATATTCCAATTGATCCTGAACTCCAAAACAGAACTAAGCTCTCGGTTGATGAAATGATACTAATATGTAGCCTCGACTGTATTCAAATTTCAAAATAAAGTATAAAAGGAAACGAATAGAGTGCCAGTGGGATCATCAATATCTCCAACAGTAGCAGACATATTATTTATGGACAGTTGTCTAATATGGAATTACTCATTTATATTACAACTTATCTATACTACTGATAGAGTTCGTAGAGCCTTGTTCATAGTAGTGTGCCCATGTACTTGTCAATGAGTCGTACTTATTATTTGGATGTTGATAATTTTATCTGAATACTCATGATTTGAAAATGTGTCCCACTAGTTGCTATGGTGTGTTAAGTTCGATGAGCTACAGCTTTTCTAAGAAAGTATCCCTAATCCACAGGGTTTATTTGAGTGGTCGATAATAAGATCTTGTTATCAGAAACGAGTGGAATAAAATACAATCATCCGTTATTTCTCCACTCATTCTGCTAACCTACATTCTTTGAAGAATATTTTTTTGTGAAAATAAGCTAATTAATATCAGACAAAAATATCTACGGGCAAGAAACTATAGAGAAGTTGACGAATTCATTAATTTATGATATATGCTATAGGTAATATTTTTGGAATGAACAATTTTCAACAATGTTTAGCAAGGTACCTTATCCACTAATAACAAGAAGTACTTTATTTGTGCATTAATTAAATCGGTAGCATGAAAAACTCATAGCCCGGATAGCTCAGTCGTAACATTTCTGACAGCAGCACTGCGTGACACGAGTTCGAATCTCAGAATGGACATGAGTTTCTTCAAAATGACCTTTGTGCGTCGGTAGCACAGCGGTAGAGTGCTCGCCGATCACTCAGGTGGTCCGGGGTTCGATCCCCGGCCACCGCACGCACTCCTTTACCTCGCTAAGCCAGTAGTAAAACTAGTAAAGGCAGAAGGTTGGGCATGAGGCAAGCAACCCCATCCTGTAAAAATAATCACCACTGCTACAGAAACTTCACACTTTAAGCTTGAAACCCTATGTTCCACTGGGGAACGTAAAGGAATAAAAACGAAATGAAAAACTCATGATGCTATAGTCTACTGATTTGACAGAAATGAGTAGTTGGTTAGCAACCACAGCAACCAGTAGTGCCTGCTAGCCAGATCGAAGTGATTCTAACACTAGACGGTCATTTTACTCGTTTCACACCGAGGCCATAAGCGGTGTGTAACTAATCTCATTCAGCTTGCATAGCCTACTCAGTTGAATTCTGTATTCTGTCTAGCTACTTATGTAGGCGAACGGGTAATCCACGGAATTAAATTATCAATTTACAAATTACACAGTTCAAATAGAGTGAATTCGATTCAATAGCATGAAAAGTTTTCATTTCAGACAGGTTTTTTTTTGAGTAATTTAATTAATCGATAAATTGTTGCGTGTGATGATGAAAGTATTTTTTTCATTGAGATTTAATCTTTACGAAGAGCTTAAAAGTGTCATTTCTATTTATCTTCAAAACACGTCTGTCTTTAAGTGACCTTGACAAAGCACTGCAGTTTAAATAATGAGTCATATGTAAGGTGTTGTTGAAGTTTAATTAGTAATAAGAATTTCAAACTATAGACATTTTTCCTTACAACCTCAGATACTTATTTTGCATTCCGTCTTAGGCTTTTTTTTAATCCATTGCATCCCAAGTGGAACATAAGACTTTGGGCTTGACGTAGTGACGTAACGGTGATAGTGTTGTTTATGAGATGAGCCTCACGTCTAACCTTTTCTCTTTACCGGAGCCACTGACAAGCTTTAAGAGTGGGTCGACTTGGAATCGTACCCCGGATCATGTGCGGGGTTGGTTGGTATTCTACCACTGGGTCACTGACGACGCACCTGCTCTAGGTTTAGTGGGAAATTATTCAGTTTTTGTAATCTCTCTTCTGTTATATTGTTATCATTGATATTCGTACAAACATTATGATCTGTTGATGTGAGGGTAGAATTTGGGCATTTCGGTAGGATGATTTAAATGCATAGTAGCAATCACAGTGATGTAACTATGAGCAGTCTACCGTACTGGAAACGTCATCTAGTTAATAATACTGTGTGTCATGGGTTACTGATAAGATTTATCAGTAGTATGTAAACAGACGTTCATCGCCATAAAAATATCAAATAGCGGAGAGATAGATTTTACGTCAAAGAAAGCAAATGATTCGGTGTTGTGGCAAAACATGGGAGACACGAAAAGAAGACAAAGAAACATAATATGAAGGCTAGAAGTAACACAACACAGAAGATCAATGGAAGTGACTATTTTCAGATAAGCTGTACATAATTTGGCTATGTAGAGAGATATCAAACTTCTAATACACATTCCGTAACCAAGTTTCTTGTCTTCTACAGCTGCAACTGTATCACTGTGTTATATGAAATAAATTTACATGGTATAGAACTGTGCTGTATTGTCGTTTAGTACTGGTCCAGGAAACGATACGGACGTTGAAATGGTGCACCAGGTGTTCAATCACTTTTCCAGTTAGTCTTCCTGTTTAATTGTCAGCGTCTCCATAAGGTTTCTTGAGACTTTATTAACTCAAAATTTAACTTTACGGTTATAACAATATTGGAGAACTTCTGTTAGACCGCTGAACAGAAATGCATCTGATGTAATATGAATTGTCATCTGCTACTAGTTATAGGCTAGTTTTTTCAAAAGAATGGATACTGAACAAAGAGTACTCGATAACTTCATCATCAGGCTCTACAGTTATATATACATTATAGTGAATGAATGAATTAGTGTTATGAACGACATTAATGTTTAAATAACATCGAATCAATAATATTGATAGATTACAGTTGAATAGCATCAACATAAAATTAGCTGAATGTTACAAAAATTAGGAAAGATAATATTTTCTATAGTTTGGTTTGTAAGGGTTTGTTATGTTTTTACGAGTTGATCACGGACTGATATCAGTTAGAGAACCATTGAAAACCAGGGAGTACTGGACAGCTGCTGTTTCATCCCAGTTTGGTATACGAGCTTGCCTTGTAACCGGAAGGTCCTGGGTTCGAATCCCAGTGGGTGCGTACTGCCGATGATTCCCAAACTAGGATGAAACAGCAGCTGTCCAGTACTCCCTGGTATTTAATGGTTCTCTAACTGATATCAGTCCGTGATCAACTCGTAAAAGGATAATATTACAAATTCATGAATTTATAGTCTCTACTGAAGGCTGGTCAGGGCAGTAGTAGGGTCTGGACTTGCTTCTTTTGAACACAGAGCACTGGTTGTTTGAGGCGAATTGCAATAGCCTCTACTGTTTGGAGCATGCGATGCTTCGATGGTTTCGGTCATTTGTTAGGCATCCGGTATATTATAGAGAAGGATTCTTCAACACTGGCCGGCTTTGTGGCCGGTTTGCACCAGAAGGTTCAATATCGAACTGTTTATGGTTTTAACTACATACACCTTTACTTAGCCATAGTGGAGATGTTCTCGAACAATTCAATCCTTGTTTTCACTTTATTCAAATTCATGAAAAGGGATAGGTGTATAAAGCTTCGCTTCAATCCGAAATCTCAGTGTACTTTTTCTAAATTGTTTTTGGTGCAGTTTGCGTCTTGTATTCACTGGCATACTTTTGCCGTTCTTCCCTTCAATATATATATATATATATATATATATATATATATATATATACCACATATAAAATCTGTTGACTGCTTCGTCGTAGAACGTATACGGTCTGATGGTTGAATACTTACCAATTTGAGTTTTTTTATCGTTTTGCTGATTATTTTTTATTATTATTGTTCCCTTGGATTCCTAGTGGAACATTGGGCTACAACTACACGTCTCCACTTGCTTCTGTCTTCTGCTGTACTTTTCACCTGCGTCCATGTTAATCCATACTGTTTCAGTTCCTCTTCACACAATCTCCTCCATGTCACTCTTGGACGTCCCACTCGCCGCTTCCCTTTCGGGTTCCACTCGAGCTATGGCCTGACGCGCGATGTCACCCAGCGGCCTCCTCAGCGAGTGTCCAATCCATCTCCACTTTTTCCTGCATACTTGTTGGGCGATTGGTTCTTGTTTTGTTTGTTCCCATAGTTTCTTGTTGGTGATTCTTTCCGGCCATCTCATCTTCAGTATAGAGCGAAGACAGTTTTGCTGATTATAAGTGTATCTAAGTTGCTATTCCCGTAGTTATTATGGTTATTCAAAGCCTAATCTTGGTCAGTTACCCATCTATAATTATTTCAAATATACACAACTGAGTTATGCAGCGTTTTGTAACTTAAGCATTTCATCTTCAACCATGCGGTTCTGAGTTCGAACACCAGTTTGAACAACTGGGTTATACTACCAGCCATCAAACAGTAAGTGTGGCTTGCAGATTAAAATGTGAGAGAAACCTGCTTCCTTTAACTGTGTCCTAACAACAACATATACTACGCATTCACTGGGGACAAAGGAATTAGGATATAGTTCTTATCTATTATGTATTCTTTGAAGGTCAAACGTATTAGACATATATCTACATTCTTGTATTTAAGACATACTTCACTGATCTCTGCATGGATTTCATCTAACTGTTTATTCCTTTCATGGTTTTCTGTTTAAAAAAAGTGTTATTTGGGAGCAGATTTCACTAAAAATGTAACACTCACTAAGTGATTATTAACATGAAGCACAAACGTTGTATATCCGAAAAAGTAACCGATTGTTATTATTATTATTATTATTATTTTATCTTCCCCTTCATTATTTTAGTCCAACAAGTGTAACATCGAATCATATTGTACTGTCTGATTCAATGAGAGGCGATGAAAACAGAGGTGAAAAAGTCTGGGTAAGTTATTCTTCAAGTAATAAACTCATAGACAAATAAAAAAAGTTATACATATATATATATGTTCAGGTGTATGGTACAGTTATCAGACTAATGCTGAGTAGGCGTTATCTGATAAATTTGCTAGGAAAGGGAATTAAAAAGTAGTCCCGCTTGGCATACGTACATATTGGTATTTATCAATAAGCTGTATTTATAACAACATAAGAAGTCATTTTCGAACCCCTGTCATCTGAACAAGTCGCTATGGGGACTTTCGAATTCATAAGTATTCAATGATGTTATATACTTGATAACGTCCCAGGGTCTACGTCTTATCATAGCCATTTAGGTACTGTCAAGTAGATGAAAATATTTCGTTTGACGACATTACTAAAGCCAATCTCCCATGCTGATCATTCGTCAACAAAATTTGACTACTTCAGTCCAGCAAAGCGAAACAAGAAGAAACCAGAATGTACACATAAGGCAGACAAAATTCTAATATAGAAAAAATCCCCATTGAAACATTTAGAAAACAGAAAGATTGAGCGAAGAAGTATTTACTTTTCAATTAGATCCTCATCTCTGGCTCTACTCTAATATATATAGCATTTTTATTACATTACACAACAGTTTACCAATCAAGTGGCGATATGTTTGTTAACAATAATTAGTCAGTGTTAAAGTGTCTATGGGTTAATAATTAACGAAGAAAATCAATACACATTTAAAAGGTAGAAATGGTTAGAATAAATTAATTTTACAACGATAACATGTAATTAAAGGTGAAATGGTCAGAAAAATAAAATAATTTGGACAATTATAATTTTTATAGTTTTTAAAGGTTTAGGGGGAGGGGGCGAAGTAGTCCGGTTTATACAGTCATGTAACGATGGCCAGGGTAAGAAAAGTGGCTGTACAAATTTCTTCTGAACACACAGGTTTGGCTTCTCCAGATGGATTCCTATTGCTTCAGGTGTCTGTAGAGGACGAACTCGTAGAGCAAAATTAAGATTATTCGGAATGCGATAGATAATTTTAAATGCTGTATTAATGCTGTAACAAAATTCTGTTTGTTACATATCCATCCGCTTTAGTTTCTTATGCCTGTGTTAGTGGTCTGTCTGCATAGCAGACTGAAACCTAAGAAATCCTACATATGGTTATCATCAAAGAATAAAAAAACTCAGGTGGTATCTAAGCCCATTAATCCACATGTTGTTGTTGTTGTTGAGTTTCATAAAATCTATCACACAAAATAATTTAGTTTTCCATAATTCTGTACAATGTGCCTGGATGGTTCAATGTTAACATACCTGTCAGCTATACCGGAGATGCAGGTTTAATTCCCGGCTCACGTATTCCTAAACCTCTCCTATTTTATTTATTGTGTGATTGTGATTATAGCTTGATTCCCCACCGTATTTTCGGTACAAGTATGGAATTCTCAGCATGTGATATCGGTAGCCCAAATTTTGCAGGTCGACCGTTTATATCAGTGTGTGTCGGCAGGGGATCGAACTCCGGACCATGTGCATGGTCGGCGAGAGTCCTAACCGCTGTGCCACCGACGCACAGCCTGTATTAAGCCTAAAAATGAGGGAAGGTTACCTGTGAGGCTAACAACTCCACTCTGTAGGCATATGTTCCACCTGGAACTCTAGAGACGAAGAAATTCAGCATAATAGATGGAAAGCCAAAGCAGTAAGTCGAAATATGTTAAACTGCAACAGACAAAAGCTCAAACGTAATGGTCATAGCTCAGGTTAGATCAATCCTGAAAAGTGGTTCAGTAGGGTCGAGGGATTGGTAAGTGAAAGCGTCGCATTAATATTAATAATAATAATAATAGTGCTTCAATTCTTCTAGATATATGAAAAATGAAAGCTATTCATTAGAATTTTATCAACAGATTTTTAAAGTTGTCAAACAACCTTTTATTTGATTGTACAGGATAAGTTTTGTTTGAATTGCTATTCAATAAGTATAATTGTTTAACTCTGAGATCCATCTGATAAAAATGAAATATAATGAAATTTCAGGGGATGGATTATCATGATAAAGTTCGAATGTTCGAATTCATCATATTTTCTCCTTTTGTTCGATTTTATTCTTTAGAAACTATCCACTGAACATTCAGATGAAGAATCCCGTATGTATAGTGATTTACGTGAAAAATCCTACACTGATAGATCATTACCACGAAAATACTCTGAACAATACTCTGACCAAAGGATGTATAAACCGGTCGATTCGCATGTAGATCCATGGAGAGTTTCACTGACTGCTTCAACTATTAATGCCTCAATACCATCAGTGCCAAATATTCCTCCACCTGAAAGTAAACCAATGAATTTAGTAAATTCTCAATCATCTCTAACATATGTACAACCAGATGTATTGAACAATCAGGGTAAGAAGTGTTTGTGAGAATAATCTGTGGTGTTATTTATTTTTAACGGAATATTTCATAAAGGAAATGAATAGCATGTTATTAGTTAAAACTTCTAATTTTGTCATCCTATTAGACTAGAAAGGTGGTGCTTCGGCATGTATAGGGTGGTGTGCTTGCCACCTCGTTCGACAAAGCTTCCCAACTATGTCGGCTGACTTTTCCCGTTTACCTACTACTCAATAATATAACGGGATTATCACTTACAAGTTGCTCCATCTGGTATGGGGCTTTAGACGTAAGTGAATATGATCAAAAGCTCTTGGTTTATTAGCTTGAAAATCCCCATTGAGTCATATGAAAAAGAGAAGACGTTCAGCGAACAGACTCTTTTCGGCGAATTTATTCACATAGCTGTACAATCGCATTTATATATAATTATTTGTGTGTGTGTGTGTACATGAGGTTTGTCAAGTTTAGATAATTGATCAGGTGGTACAAGAATGATCTAATATAGAAACATGGTTAATCAGACAGCAACTAAAGTAAGATTGAGTTAGTAAGTTAGATGACGCAATATAATTGACTAAAATGTTTCAACTTAGGTCAGGATAGCAACAGAGGTAATTACAAGTAGAGACTAAGTAGAAGTGGGGCAGAGAATAATGCCATTTAAATCAGAACTGAAATTGAGCAAATAAGTTGGATGACGTAACATAAATGACTAGAAATTGAGCGTTGTTCAAGTGAGTAACAGTGGTAGTGAGGTGTAGAAAATAAATCGGGTGGGGGTAGAGAACAAGAAAGTTGAAAATGTAAAATATTACAATTGAGAAGACAAAATAATACTAATGAAGAGACAGAAAAAAGGATTAGGTAGAATTTACATGTCGGCTAATAAGATAGATTACGTCCATTGCAAGTGTAGTGATTGAACGAACTTCTTCTGCATGCAGAGTTCAAGACTTAGCAAGTGAATCGTCATTGCTTCTGCACTTTGATTCGTACACCTTTAGGAAGACTGCTTCTTACTCTGTAGACGACTTTGAAGTTTGTTTGCGGTGTAGCTTGGTGTCCGGATTCTATCAGATGTTCTAAGATGGAGCTGCAGGAGCATCTCCTTTGTAAAACCATGTTGGTAAATGTTCAGTGATACGTTTGGAAAGCGAGCTCTGGGTACGGCCGACATACCTTGTTTCTATATTAGATCATTCTTGTATTACCTGATCAATTATCTAAAATTGACAAACCTCATGTACACACACACACACAAATAATTATATATAAATGCGATTGTACAGCTATGTGAATAAATTCGTCGAAAAGAGTTTCTTCGCTGAACGTCTTCTCTTAGTTTATTCCATATTTCCTGTGTCTCATTCATGAAATAAAGTATTGCCTACATCACTTACTTTTCAACAAGTACCTGGATTTCAACAAAGATGGCAACAAGTTGGCATTTACCTAACAAGTCTATTGTACACGTGCTTAGCAGACTAGTCCGTTATGGCCTATGGAACTCCCTAATAACTGGAGATGTCAACAGCTCCAATCATTTCATTCCCTATTTTTAAACTAGTAGTCGGTGCAGAGTAGTTGTATGTTGAACAAAGGCACATCTCATGCTAAAAACATATTTAAAAATTCGGTCAGGATGTTCAGAAGATCTTGGTAATATTTCCAGCGAACCTACCAAAATCAAAAGACTTAATGTCTTGTGTAATTAACCGTTAAAATATCTTGTTTCATTCCTTTACCTTCTGAAAGGAGCATAAGGCTTCAAGCGTGAACTCTGGGGTTTCCCTAGCGATTTCTTTTTGCCAGGTGAGGTTTCTAGCCTCATATACAACCTTTCCTATTCACTGACTAGGTGAGGTTTAAGAGTGCATCAATCAGGAATCGAGCCCAGACTGTATATATGCATGGTTGGCAAGCATTCTGTCACTGAAACACCGACGCACCATTAAAATATAATTATAATGAATTCATTCTTTCCACAATACTCAAGCTTTTCACAGACATTATGTTCAGAAGACTCTACACTTCGTTTACGTCTTCACCTAAAAAAGATTAGGTTATCTTCAACCTGTTTGCTACTAGTTTACACTTCCTCACCAGTTGAAAGGTACTAGGATAGAAGGCAAAAACATATGGAAAGAGTATACTCTTAAAGTTGTCGAAAGTCGTCATAAAAAGTAGAGCAAACTTTGATCAAACTAAAATGTGATATCACAAAAATAATGTTTGCTTCTTTGCTATTGTAATCAGTTGTAAATCATTTTACTCGGAGTCTTCAGTTCATGGATTTCCGTCTGACAACCTATACGTTCCTATACTGCTCAAACCAACAGTCAGAAACTTTTCATATTGGTATCAATTTCTTTCTATCAGTGCTAACCTTTACGAGTCTGAGACTAATTTAGTGAACATTTCATTTATAAGAAAGTGGTGCCTTGTCCAGTTTTAACCACATCTCAGTCATTTGCAGTCTTATTTGTACGTAAATCTCTGTCTTACCTTTGCTCACATCATGCTTTCATCAAATGTGAACAGTACAATGAAGTCAACTGTTGGTGAGTATTCAAAGCCTTATTGAAGATTCAGTCATCTACTTAGAGGAAAGTGAGGAAACTAAATTAAGATACATAACTAAGCTTATCTTGAATTTACAATTCCTTGTTAACTACATGATAATATTTAGTCTTGTAAATATGAGGTCCAAATGGATGTAGATTAGAAAGGGTATCATTGATAAAACAACCACTTGTGATATCCATTACTATTACAAACTGGAGATTGCCTGTAATATGTATCGCTTCTTCAACCTGTGGTTAATCTAGCTGGCACGAAAGTCGTTATCGCTTCGGGATCTGTTTCAGATGTTCTAGCGATTGGTGGAACAAAAAGTTTATATGATTACAGGGTGTCGAAAGAATAATTCTGAGGAAGTTCCATCTCTATTAATGAATGACTTCCATCTTGTGAATGCTTTATCCTAAGTAGCTGACTGCCTGAATAATAATTCAAATGCTGTGCGATGATGTTATTTGGTCCCTACAATACAAAACATGTGACAAACACTATGGTCACTCACAGACGGTTAGTTAGCAAGGAATAAAGAAGAATGAGACGAATAACCAAGTAGGAACTAGTCCCTACTAATCATTTATAAGCTTCCCTATTGAATGTTTTTGAATGATGAATGCCTTCCCTAGTGTTTTATTACGTTCCCCTGCCTCACTTACCCACCAACATGTTCAAAATCGGCTTCTATCTTCTGCTGTTATACGCCCTATCGGTCGGTAGTTTTAGTAATTATTTTAATACGAGAGTGTGTTTACTCTATTGATGGGCCTGATGTGGTCCATGAGAACCTTACACATCATCAAGAAGATATAGTTCCTACTTGGCTGCTTGTTCCATGCTTCTGTCTCTGAGGCACCATATGGTATATCGTGTGTTGTAGAAACCCTATACGGTTGACAACAATATAATGTATGACGTTGTTTTAACCATGTAGGATAAAATAGATGTAATAATATTCAAGTATTGGTTTATAGGAATTTGACTGATTGGTTACAGGATTTCATCATGAGCTGACATCGGTTTGGGGACCATTGGAAAACTGGACAGCTATTTCGCCCTGGTTTGGGGCTCGTCATCAGTACGCACCCATAGGGGTTCGAACCAAGGACCTTCTGGTAACAAGGCGAGCTGGTAGACCATTTAGCCACTGGGACCCGATCCAATAAAATATAATAATATAATGTAATATATATATATATATAATATCCAATCATTTTAATCAGCCAAGTATTATGCCTTAGGGTAGGCAAATGTCGAAGCGTCAGAAGGAACTAACTTTACATTTTATGACACGTAATCTCTCTCTTCACGCATTTATTACAAAGCTTGCGTCTTACCGTACTTTAGTTTCACTTATCTATTGTTTATTTTGTTGTCTCCTCTTTTTTCATTGTCCTTAGTATTACGTAAGTTGAAACGTTAAACTAAATGAAATAGTATATCTGTCAACTTATTGTTCATGTGTCGTACTGAAGTTTAATAATAGATTTTTTTTGGCACATGATTTTTCAATAGATATATATGTATATTTATTTAAAATCAATTTCCGCAACACATTTGACTAGAAAGGTAGTAGTAGTAGTGAACCTGTAAATGTGTAGCGTTTAATTAACTCAGTAGGTGGTCGTCTTTATTCTAGTGTGGTTAATTATGGTATTTTTTATTTGTTATAGGTAAATAAATAACCTACATCGTTATGGATATGCATTTAATTTCGTTGATTGCTCCCCTAACTTTGAATTACTTGCCTATTATCGCTATTACTCCATCTTGACGTGTGTTTTTTTTTAAAATTTTTAGTTAACTCTACTGTATGCACAACTTTGGCTATCCATCAAACACGTACAAATGGTTTACGCAATCTTGGGAATACATGCTATATGAATTCTGTAGTACAGTGTTTATCGCATACCAGAGCATTAGTCCACTACTTCCTTGATGGTTTTCATGAACGTAAAGCTGTAGTTACTAATTCTCTTGGCTATGGAGGAGAAATTGTCAAGCATTTTGAAGTACTACTCTCAGCCTTATATAATCGACCAAATCAAGATGCTGAATTGCATAAATTCAGGGTAAGTAAAATGTTGTTGTTTACCTGTTAACTTTCATTGTTTAAGTTTAATTTTTTAGCGTACTAAAATGTTGTCTGTGTGTTGGTGGCATAGCGGTTAGAACGCTCACCGACCGTGCACATGGTCCGGCGTTCGATCTCCGGCCACAGACGCACTCCTTTACCTCACTAAGCCAGAAATAATGCTGGTGAAGAGGAAAGGTTGGGCATGAGGCTAGCAACCGCATCCTGTAAAAATAAACACTGCTACCGAAACTTCAAGCCAGTAACTTGGAGCCCTATGTTCCACTGGGGAACATGAAGGAAAAAAGATGTTGTCAGTCCTATTGTAATTTTACTTTAGCTATTATTTTAATTTTGGGAAAAACTTGGATTTTTTTCAGCAAAGAACTCTGAGGTTAAGTCTCTATAATGATGAATGTGCATGCTTATGATGAATGTCCTACTCATTGACTTGACATTCGATTTTTTAGTCAGATCACGGATTGATATCAGTTAGAGAACTATGGGAAATCAGCGAGTGAGAGACTGTTCTGCAGCACACGCAACCAGGGACTTTCAGGTTATGAGGCGGGCTCGTTGACCATTTAACCATTGGAATGGAATGCAGTGGCCCATGTATGTTCACTTCTATCGATTGGCGATTTCGGCTAACTTTTGGCCAGTGGATTTCATGGGCTTCCAGTTTGTCCCATGTGCTGTACTTTGAAATCAAGTTTGCTTAACGTAGATTTCAACTTTAAATTTGTAAAATGTGGTATTTTGAGCTCAGGAGTCGACAGTTTTTTCGTCGTTCAAGTAGTATCAATAGAAGTAAGGAAGTAGTGGTGTAGAGAGCTGATGAGAATTTAAATTTATTTTCTTATCTCATCACAGATATCCCTTGCACGAATCGTATGCTTAATCTTGCCATCCGTTGATATACTCTGTAATATACCAGAGATAGTCAGTCAGTCAATAAATGTTGTCATGCCGAAGCACTGGCACATATTTAATGGATATAGTCCCCACGGTTTCTGTAGCGTTCACCGCTGGGAACAATGAGAGACTGGTCTGACGAAATGGATAAGTTAATCAGTCTGTCGTCTAGTTATTAAGATTACAGATGGGTGTGTTGTTTTGTTGCTAAATCATGAGTTATTGGATGGTGTTCTGTAAATTGTGTAACTCAATGGCTGCAGATATTATCAGATATGACAATCATTCATGAGCTTCCTTATCTCTTCACACATTTGAAGTGCTAGCAGGTATTGAATGCTTGGACGAATATGTTCTAATAAGGAGACACTTTTCTTCATTCTCTTAGGTTTTTTAAATTCCCCTTTGTTATCACTCCATTTAGTGTACTGTCTATATTATTATCCATACTGTACCAAGTTTGCGTTTCAAATTAATAAAGGTATACCTTGGACTATAGCTTAGAATAAAATCCTACAGAGGTTTAGCATTAAATTGGCATTTCACTACTACACTCTTTGCATCAATGGATCTATGATGAAATGCTCGCTAACCACACACACATACTCCGTGTTTAATTCCCAGTTGATTCACTCCTAAACGCGGCCTAGTTTACTTAGCCTCTAGTCAACTCGAAATAAAATGGGTTCGAACTAACGACCCTACCTTCCACTTTTAATTAGAGTTTACAGCTTGAAGTTCGATGTTCAAATCTGACTGACAATAGACCATAGAGGCTAGTTTAGTAGTAGTAGTGGTTTGTCTGTCTCTGTCTGGATTCAGCATAGAACTTGGCACCGAAGTGCAGCAGTTTGAGTTGCCACGCTCCAAATAGAACACAAAGGTACACAAGAAGATGAGTGAAGAGAATCAATAGAGTTTTGACAAGTATAAGAGTGAAAGAGAATGAGTAATGGTAGAAAGGAATATGAAAGATTACAGAGACTAAATACATCTGAGTAAGCCATTGACAACGATTTTGAGCCATGTCACCTATTGTCGCGAGTCATTGATTCTTAGAGTCCCGAGGGCCCCAACCCGGAAGTCTGCATCTCCCTCCCCACCTGACTCAGTTTAACTGTCAAGGATTTCATGGATTGATGAGGCCATGTTTTTGTTTGGCCACTACTTACTCTTTTCCAACCTTCACCTATATCAGCTAGTAATGCCCGTCTGTCGGGGGAGGCGATGGTTAGGCATGCGCAGTACGTGACCTAACCATCTCAATCTATGTAACTTTATAGCCTCTTCGATTGATTTTCCCTCTTTGCCCAACACTACGCCTAACGTCAACATTACTTACCTTATTATACCACCTAACGTGGGAAAGAGATCGTAGACAGCTATGATAAAAAACAATCAACCTTTTTATGTCTTCAACTCGTATTGGCCATGTTTCAGAGCCATAGAGAAGGACGGAGCGAACTGCTGAGCAGTACACACGTCCCTTGGTTGATAGCCGGTTGTCTCGCCTACGCCAGAGATGGTGTAAGTTAGCGAAAGCAGCTCTAGGTTTTTGGATCCATCCTGAGATTTCGTCGCCAATCAGTCCGTTGGTGCTGATACAACTTCCCAAATAGGTGAAGTGGTCAACATGTCCTATCAAGTAGTAGTAGTAGTAGTAGTAGTGCAAGGAAGATCTATTTTCTAATTTAAGGATACCATTCAACTTACTAGTCAGTAATAAATGGTTTAGTTGTATACGACAGTGAGTGAAATCGTTTCAGAATAATTAACTTACAAGTAGAACAATTTTTTCAGCACCTCTTGTGTATAACAAATTTTAGAAGGTGATTTAATAGAATAGTCACATGCATTAACTAGTCTATAACTGGTAAAGTTAGACTCTCTCTAAGGCTCTGTGAAACTCAGTTTAATCGACAAGTTGACAGTTTCTCTTAACGATCACGTTCTAATTACTACAGCTTAATTGACAGTACTTATTATTATTACAATTCACTTTATACTAGAGAATTGGTTGCCTGATATTGATTAATGTAAATGTTTTTAGTGCTGATCGAATTCTGTTAATCAAGCACATCTCTCACCCTCGTATTCTTTGAATTGAGGACCACAGTGTAAATTCTTTGTACAAATTTTGACCAGACAGCTGCATTGACTACCCATTGATCTTTATTACGCAGTCTTTATGATCATCGACCATTACCTGGAGAGCTCAGTGGTGCGAGCATGGATCTGAGTTTTAAAGTTGCATTTACGCCTTTCTGCTGATTATTTATGAACACAAAACCTAGGTAGTGTAAATTATCTTTATGATTCACTCCTAACGTCTAATACATCCTCGTTATATAATTTTATTTTTTTTTTTATTTTTGATTTACAGCTTGATTCCACACCGTATTTTCAGTACAAGTGTGGAATTTTCAGCATGGATATCGGTTGCCCAAATTCAGGCATACCATAGGTATCGGGTGTGCGCCGGCAGGGGATCGAACCCCGGACCATGTGCATGGTCGGCGAGAGTCCTAACCACTGTGCCACCGACGCACAATATATAATATTGTTCAAACTATTTTATGACAGCTTTGTAAAAGCTCTAAGGCAAATGGACAATTTCATCATTCTCCTTGTATCATTTTGATGAATTAGACTGGAATTCTTTTTGATGTTCTAGTATTCAATCAGTTGGTAATAGTTGTTGTATGCGAGCAAATATTGATGTATATATATGTCTCCTATTCCGCTTTTTTTTAAATGTCTAGTCAGCTGTTGCTAAACATCAAGCCAAATTTTCCAGTAATGATCAACAGGACAGTTTGGAATTCCTTCTCTTTCTATTAGACGGTCTACACGAAGATCTGAACGAAGTAAGTTTCTTCTGGGTTGGTAACCTGCTAATTATTGCTTAGAATGTGTGTTTGGCTATAATCTCTGTCAGAACAAACATAGGAAAATAAAGAGTTGCAGGATAAAGTGTTCTGACTTTCTCCATTATGCATAAGATTTTATTTTCATAAATCACACAGTGTTATACAGTAATATTAACTGATGACGTTTCGAGCACAAACTATTGCTCATAATCATATCAATAATACTTATGTTCTGATTTTATTTCGAGTCTTTGCTTCAGCTAAAAACAAAGTATAAATTACATTAATCCTGATGAATAAAACTATGGATGAAGATTAAAGCCAGAAAAAGCAATAATGAATGATGACATGTCAACAGGGAAAAAACTAATTTAGAAAAAAACAATAGATTGAGCGAAGAAATATATTCCTTTCTCCAATTAATTCCTCATCATCGGCTCTACGCTAATGTATAGTTTTTTACATCAAAATTTTTACCAGTTAAGTGGTTATTTTAGTTAACCAGTTTTAGGTATAGGCGGAAGTGAAATCAAGAAGTTAAAGGTCATCAAAACAAATAACTAATAGATGTTAGTAACAAGATATCGAAGTTTTAAAGGAGCGGTGAGAATTAATTGTGGAATTCAAGATAAGTTGTTCCTTAGGTGTTGGCAACAAGTTATTACGTAATCAAGAAATTTGAAAAATAGCAATGATGACTAAGAAGAATAGGATGACTCATAAGAGTTACGTAAAATATAAAAAGTTAATAGAATTAGCTGGAATTGAAAAAATTTTGATGAACCTTCAAAAGGAAATTTCAGCATGTTCGCCACTGATTGAAATTCTCGGCCGTACTTGACAACGTTTCGAGTCAGCTATTCGAACTATCTCTTGGACCTCAACCAGGGAGTTGTGATATACCAACCAATGAGAAACCTAACACAGATATCCTTGATCCCACGTTGCCATATCGTAGTCTGGCCACCTCTCTGCTTTTTCTATCCATTCCCAGGGCTAGCGAACAGAGACCTGTACATAAGCCTCTGAAATGACATTCGTGGCACGTGTCCAAGCCATCAAAGCTAGTGTTTCAAGATGACAACACTCAGTGAATGGTGATTTCTACAGCATCCAAACACACCACCGAACTGTGGGATCCCTTGTGCGGTGATGTCATCGGATGCAAGCAATCCTACGGAGACAGCGACGATCGAATACTTGGAGTCACCACATATCTTCATCTCGGAGAGGTCAGGTTCCACAGGAGTAGGACAAAACTGCGCTCGCCGAAGCATTACAAACGCAACCTTTGACAGCCAGGCTGACGTGGCGACTGTGTCAGAGGTGGCTCGAATTGGTGTATAGATACCCTGGCTTTCACTATGTTATTAGTGATTTCGTTTGCCACGCCTCCACCAGCACTCACGATGTAGTTAATAATGACAAAAAGACTAAATACTCATAGTTTTGTTGCCTCACCAACTGGACCCAGGTTATGATATGGGTAGAAACGATAGGTCAGCAAGGAATACACTTTTTATAAATTCTCATGAAAACTGTATAGTTTAATAGTGTTTCTAAAAGGTCATAGAAACCCACCCCCCTCCAATTGATTATTTAATAATGTCATTTGGAAATAAATACTGAAAAATTCAATCATACATTATTTGTTCACCGTCTTGCCACTTGTTATTTCATTTTTTTTTCACTGAAAGGCTCGTTCGCAACGGAATAGTACTACAAAACCTTTACAGGATCAATCAAGTGTTGAATATTCGTCGAGTCGTGAACAAGCAGAGGCTGCATGGATTCAACATAAGGATTTAAATAATTCAATTATAGTGTCATCATTTCAAGTAAGTAATAATATTGATATTTTTTGCTATTTTTTAGGTGTTACTGTCATTTTGTTAACTATATATATATATATATATATATATATATATATATATATATATTATATATATATATATATATATATATATATAATAACAGTAATGGCTTTATTTTAAACAGTATTTTTGATACATTGTGGGATTTTCAGCATGTATTACAATATTGTATCTAATTTTCTGTTTATATTACATGACACATGAGGAAGGGGAATAATTAACAGGGCATCTACATTCATAATATTTATTATTCAATCAGAAAAGGAACTTAAAATTTAAATGGAAATATTAACGACAACATATTCATGAAAGAAAGAATATAAAGAGCTGTTTACTTGGGGTTTCGCAGTATGTTAGTAATGTCATGCCTCACACTTTTCTCATCACATAAAACGTGTGCTAAATAAGATATCATAGGGTTTCTATACTTAGTCGTCCGAACATAAGGTCTTCTATAGTAACTTGTAGTCCCACCTGATATGCAAGAAGAGAGAGTTGTGCATGGAAATGGGGTTGCGCAAGGTCCGACAAGTTGATATTCGCTAATATCTAATATGAGCCCATGTGTCTGTCTACAACAGTATTAACAAATCTGCATAGTGATACCTCACTCGCCTTTGTCGACAACTTTTAATGTACTTCGTAGTGTAATAAAGTCTTTCTTAAGTAGCCTAGGAGAGATAGATAGAATACAAGAGTTAACAAACTGTAACAGTAGAGAGAGAGACTGAGTGTTACCAGATTGTCTTAACTTCCTCACATAGAACGTTTGACAAAATATCATCCTAGAAACTAACATGATGTGGGAAGATCAGAAAAGATCAGAGGAAATGCATTAATCTAAGGTTGATATGATTATGACGAAGACATTTCCAGTATTGCTTGAGATATTCTTCCTTATCTATACAGCTCTTCAGAGAACTGATTCTCGTGTTCGCTAGGGCAAGCTTGACAGAAAACTTGGGGAACATATCAAGTTCTTTCACTGTCGCGGGGTTCTTGCTTAGTTTTAAATCACCGAAAATACCCATTGAGTCATGAAGAAAATAAAAGTCAATTCAGCGAAAAAATGTTTTTTTTTTATCGACGAAATCATCTCCAGAGGCTGTACAGTCATATTTATATTTACCAAAAATGTATAGTAATCCGCTGTTTGAGTAATAGGTTTGATATAATTGATATAATGACTTAGAAGTGGCTTCGACACTAAACCAAATGTTAAACGGTTGATCTCAGCTGAGCACAGAAAGCAGCTACGTGAGATTTTAAGTAATCTAAACTTGGGTGCTAATCCGTCCCAATAAAAGTGCTGTTATGCATAATCCAAGGTATTTAACATTCGACTTAGTCTTAACTTCAGTGCCATCCAAGATACCAGAATCATGAAAACGAACCAGTTCATGTAAGTCGCGCATCGTGTGTGAATCTGCTAGGATTGTATCCTGGTTATACTACAATCTAAATGCTATCCAACAAATGTTAACAATATTAGATCCGATAGTAACTTTTCAGCGATTCAAGTTGTCAGGCCGCATACTTACACACATCAAGTAGGAAATAACGACTGCAAGTAAATGGCCTGCTGCCAGTATTATTATTATTATTGTTCCCTTGGGTTCCTAGTGGAACATAGGGCTTCAACTACACGTCTCCACTTGCTTCTGTCTTTTGCTGTACTTTTCACCTGCATCCATGTTATTCCATACTGTTTCAACTCCTCTTCACACGATCTCCTCCATGTCACCCTTGGACGTCCCACTCGCGGTTTCCCTTTCGGGTTCCACGCGGGCTATGGCCTGACGCGCGATGTCACCCAGTGGCCTCCTCACCGAGTGTCCAATCCATCTCCACTTTCTCCTGCATATTTGTTGAGCGATTGGTTCTTGTTTTGTTTGTTCCCATAGTTTCTTGTTGGTGATTCTTTCCGGCCATCTGATCTTCAGCATAGAGCAAAGACAGCTGTTGATAAAGGTCTGCAACAGGCTGTTGGAAATATTCTTGGTGACCCGCCAAGTTTCTGATCCGTATGGAAGAACTGACTGACTTGACGTTTGTATTGAAAATCCGAATTTTGTTGTTGATGTTGAGTGAAGAAGATTTCCAGATTGGTTTCAGGTTGATGAATGTGTTACTCGCCTTCCCGATTCTCGATTTGACATCTTCCTTGAAATCCGTTCCTCCTGTAGTTGAGACAATGCTCCCTAGATAAGTGAATGAAGTAACCTCTTTCAAATCCATCCCCTTGATGGTGATTGGCACTGGATGTTGTTGTTGTTGTTGTTGGTTGGTTATTTTCATAACCTCTGTCTTGTCTATGTTCACCTGGAGTCCTGTCTTTGCTGTTTCTTCGACCAGTTTGTTGGTTTTCGCTTGTAAGTCTTCGATTTTGTGTGACATCAAACATAAATCATCCACGCGCGAACTCCAGGTCTTCTAGGTTTTTCACGTCGGTCCAGGATATGGCCTGCTGCTAAGTCATTCAAAAGGAACAGAATTATGAGTAAACTAGTACTAGGGTACATTTATTGCAATGTATTTGAACAGCCTAGAAACATACTGTTTTTATCTTCAGTCGGAAATAGGACAACTAGAGTAAAGTATGTTAGGGCTATGTAAAAAGTCAAGAGGTCGTCTAAAATCACTGAAGAAAAGGGGACACAGATTAAGCAAACAGTGAAACTTTTGCTGGTATAAACTTTGAATACGCATACACCATAACGGTAGTGAGTGTATTCTGCACCAAATTACCTATGTCCTTTTAACTGTCATGTATTCATTTACTTCGTCTTCAATTAGTCCACGTGATGTTTTGATGCTATGTCCTAATGTGGCTGCTGTTATCCTTCTTCTAACAACCTATTTACTTCAAACAACATTTCACTTTTGAATAAGCATACATAGCATATATTTATTAATTAGGAAGGTTTTTATTCCACCTTGAGGAGGGCAGGAATGGAAGGAAGAGCAACTAATAATCGGGTGGTAAATCCCCTTGTTAATTTTATATTCTGTGACATTCATTGATTGATCGAGGTGTATTTACAACCGGACGCGTATAATTTGTGTTAGTCGTAATTTCCTTTTTTACAATTAACTGAATTAAAAAGCCGTTACTGCGTTTACAAGCTTAGTAATTATTTGATATATATATGTGGACATTCACTCATCTAATACTACGGTAATACTAGTCAAACTGAAATTAATCGACATACTGACAGGCCAATGAAATACAATAGAATAAATGTGTCCATAATATACTAGTTCTGTCATTATCTTATGCGTTTTTTGAATGACTTAGCAACATGTTGTTGCATTCTGTTCACTTGTCGGCATCACTTTCATCTTGTGCAATCATATGTAGGTGTATATTTTGCTAGAATGTCAGATGTAAACAAAACACACAGGGTATTGTCCACCGATCTTACTGGAATATGAATTATGCATGCCGAGCTTTACTGTTAATTGGAGTGCGATCATGTTAGTCATATGTGAACAAACAGTAGACGCTAAAATTCTGTGAATCTGAACCAGAGTCAATGTAAAGACGCTTAGGTTACCTTGTTGAGTGAGATCTGTTGAATATTATTAGAATCAAACAAGACTGAAAGTGACATGTTGTTAAGTCAGTCAAGAGACATACGGCTATGCGACAAATAATAATTGGATACGTTTATTCTAGAATGACTTCATTGCATATATCCACTAATTGTAACGACGTTGTCCGTTGCTATGTGGTGGTTTAATGACATGTTACAAATGAAATTTTGCACTAAATTTTTTTTCTGGCGTACATATATTATTGGTGACATCATATTCTTGAACTGCGTTACATTTGCTGCACTTTTATCAGAAAGGGTTGCTTGATAATGGTATCTGCGCAATGTAATGGAGTAAAGGTGACAACAAGTTCAAAAGTTAAGCGCTAATTTTCAAGTATTGGTTTTGTGGGGATTACGGTTGATTGGTTGGAGGATTTCATCATGAGCTGACATCAGTTAGAGAACTATTGAAAAACCTGGGAGTACTGGACATCTGTTTCCTCTTAGTTTGGGTCTACGAGCTCGCCTTGTAACTAGAAGGTCCTGAGTTCGAACCCCGCAGTATGCGTGAGTACTGATGAAGAGTCCCAAACTAGAGCGAAATGGCTGTCCAGTACTCCCTGCAGGTTTTCCAATGATTCTCTAACTGATGTCAGCTTATGATGAAATCCTCCAACCAATTAAACGCTTATTATTGGATTTTCATGAAATCATACTGGTTTATTTTGGCCTATTTTTTGAAACTGTCTAATACCCACCGGATAAACGTGATACCGCTTCGAAAAAGTGGTATGGCTTATAGTCGCCCTTTATTCTGTGTATAAGAATAATCTAACAACATGTCGGTTAATTTCAGTTATCAAATAACCAGGGGCTGTCAGTGGGTTCAAATATTTTTGATCTTCCGCAAATGCTGTACTAATAATACTTAAACTTCTGTAAGAAGGCTTCACATCTTACAATTACTTATGTCTACTATTGTAAAGTACAAAACACCATAGTTTTGATGTATAGGTGTTCATATGTTATCCAATTCACTCAGATCCACGTATTGAAAAATCGGTATCAGATTAGAAAGCAATAAATACGTGTTTCATCGTATTTTTTTCTAAAAAGTATGTTTTAGTGCATTTAAATTTTTTTTTTGATTACAGCTTGATTCCACATCGTATATTTTGGGACAGGTATGGAATTTTTAGCATGTGATATCGGTAGCCCAAATTTTGCAGGCCGACCATTGATATCAGGTGTGCGTCGGCAGAGGATCGAACCTCAGACCATGTGCATGGTCGGCGAGTGTCCTAACCACTGTGCCACCGACGCACATCGAATATGTCTTAAAATTGAAGTCGACAAAGGTCTCTCAATAATTTCGATTTTGTCTCCATTAATAGCCATGAAATAATATTTCAACGACGAAATAAAGTGAGATGAATCCTATTTAAGTTCTCATTACAATAATCACCATAATAATTAACTCATTCACCGTTGTCACTCTAATTATAGCTGTATCTGTTTAGTATTGGGAAGTGCGTTAAACTACCACTTTGAGTAATACTATAGGTGATTTTTATTGTGCCCAGATCTAATTCTATTCACAGTTGCCATCAGTAGTGAAATTATGTAACTGTGACTGCTTCCTGAGATTTTTGTTATTCTTTGTTTATCTGACTGATAATACCAACTAGGCCTCGTATAGTACTCTACTAATAAGGTTTCTTATTAACCCCCCTCTATAGTTGATACCACCGACTTCCTCGTCCAGCAATGTTAGCTAGCTGACATAAGTTCAACTTGGAAAAGAGCAACGGGCGGTGAAATTGTGGTGATGTGATACAAACAGTGTGTTCCAACGGAATATTATTCGCACATATTCCCACAGTTCACTACAACATTAGCAGCAGAATATGATATATCTATTGAAACATTATGTTTGTTGCTAGAGCCAGAATATTATTCCCACAGTTCAATACTGCATACTTAGGCTTACGTGTCTTGCCCTCCGTTGTTACAAAATGAAAACTTGACATGAATCCATGAAGTCTCTGACTAGTGATATGAGTCGTGTAAGCAAAGGTAGACTGTGCTTGACTGGGGTCCCCGAGACTCGAGGAATTGCTCGCTGGAGACTGTGGGTGATATAGCGCAAAGTAATTCTCAGTGGCTCAGGTGCATTCAGTCTTTGTAATCCTCCAGATTCGTTAATTCCTCATGTTTTTAATGTTACTATTCCTTCTACTGAACATTTCTGCTCATTAATTATATTTGTTTTTAGTTTTGTCTCTTTTGTGTTGTAGCAACTTGAACTACTGTATTATTTTACTCATAGAGAGTTCCACGTCTCAACTCGCTCAGATAACACTTCCACATTTGTATCCATACTTTCACGAAAGAAATGTTCTATTCCCTTCAAAGAATAACTACTAGTGGTTTTAATATTTCACCAACTAATTAGGCGTATTCATTTTTTTCTTTTTTGTTTTCCTATAGGGACTTCTTCGTTCTACTGTAAAGTGTAGTAATTGTCATAAAACTTCGATAACATTTGATGTCTTCATGGTGTTATCCTTACCAATGGAACAGAATAATGCATGTCATTTAACTGTAAGTTTTAGTGATTTCATCTTCTCCTTGTCTATGAATGTGTAAATGTGTACTTGAGGATTTACTAGAGTCTTATTCCCATGCTTGTCAGTGGTTCACTGGTAGAAATAATCTCCAAACATGCACGTGATTTGGGGTTCGCACCCGTCCCAACCGGCTGACTTCCCCCCCCCCCCCCTGCACCTCATTTAGCCGGTAATACGCCCATTGAAGAGAGGGAATATTGGGTGTGAGGCCAGCGACCTCCTCCACCCCCCAAACCCGTCTCGTGCAAAGAAACACCACTGCTACTGAAACTTCTAAGCTCAAGCCCAAAGTCCTATGTCCCATACGGAACACAAAGGATTAAAGTGAGTTATTTCCATTTTCGCATTATGTTATTGCATACTGTTGTACTCGTTTTCATAAATCCGAGTTACACGCCTTTCACTTTAGTTCTACTTTTCCCAACAATAAGCAAAACTAAATGGCACAAACATTGGTATGCTGTAAATATACATATATATGCTTTCTGAGTATGAAACATAGTAATTGTTGTTACTATTATTAGCGGTAATTTCATTTTTACTGTTGCCTTCAATGGTTATGATAACCTTGCGTGTGTGTGTATGGGTGTATGTGGTTTTTATCACCAACTGTGATTCATTTTGATGACACCCTTCAGATACCATTACTGCTTCTATCGCTAAACGACAAAATGTCTAGAACAGTTGTCACGTGAATATATAAAGTGTTTTTTTATTTAAAAAAATTTTGTTTAATCACTTATCTGTCATAAGTGCTCCTATTTAGTAACATACACTAGTAATTGTAATCTTTATACATTCTTAATTATTTATTCACGAAATGAAGTTTATATATGCCTAAATATGTATGATGATATACACTTACACTTAAGCCAGTATTGATTAAGATTAGTGGTTTTCATATCAAGTTAATATGCGTTTGTCAATTATTGTAGAAATATAAAATTCTACGGAGAGAGAGAGAGAGAGCTGTCTGATCTTACCATGATACTTATCATTCATGCTTATAATTCCTTCTGGCGTTAAATGGATCGTCTTTATGACTTAAAGGACCACCTCTTGAGTCTTTGACTCAAATTCTGATCTATATGGCACTGAAGCAGCATCAAGAGCTACGTTCCCATGGTTTCCGGTGACCAAGAACAGGTTCATACGCCATTCTATTTGTTCGGATTCTGAAGCGGATGTACATCATGTTTTGAGATTCAGGGTTTTCAAGCTTTGCTAGGTGGACACCTGCATGCTTTAGTGGAGAATACCCCTGTCACCTGAAGGTAGTGAATAGGATCTACTTGGTCGGGGCTATGCGTCGTGAATTATATTTTACAACGCTTGAGAATCTCAAACCCGTAGGAAATACTAATCTTCGTTTGATTAATATTCAAGTCAGTTAGTTGGTGGTTCATAAAGCACATTTGTCATAGTTAATTAGTACATAGTGGTAGTCAAAATAAAGGTAAAAATAGTTTATTCTAACAGCTTCTGCGCAGTAGTTAAAAGCTGTGATTCACAAATTCACAGAATGTTAACTAAAGCAATTATTCATTATATTTCTTGACCTAAAGGCGCCATTCGATTCTGTCGACCGGGAGGTTCTCTGGCGATGCTTGGCTGTAAAGGGAATGCCAAGAAAATACATTGCACTGATTAAGGCACTCTACTCGTACTCATCCAGCCAGGTGAGGGCTTATGGCGAGTTGTCATCTGAAGTGGTGACGACTAGTGGCGTCCGTCAAGGATGCCCATTATCCCCATTCCTATTTAACTTCATCATAGACGTACTAATGGACTTAACCCTAACACTTCAGCGACTCAGGGATTGACTTGCTACCAGGGAAGAATCTCGTTGACTTAGAATATGCGAACGATATAGTCCTTCTAGGCGAGGACGCTGACAAAATGCAGAGTCTACTGAACACCTTGAGCAGCAATCTTCGTATGTTTGGCATGCGATTCGCCCCTGTAAAATGTAAGATGATGCTGCAGGATTGGACTTCATCGACCCCTAGATTAGAAATAGGAAGTGAAGTGGTAGAGCACGTTGACCGCTTCAATTACTTGGGAAGTACCATCAGCCCCAACGGGTTGATCTCCGACGAAATCTCAGCACGAATACAGAGGACTAGTTTCGCATATGCCAGTTTACGCCGTCTCTGGCGTAGACGTGATATCCGACTATCGACCAAAGGGCGTGTGTACTGCTCAACAGTCCGCTCCGTCCTCCTTTATGGCTGTGAGACCTGGCCATTGAGAGCAGAAGACATGAAAAGATTAGCTGTCTTCGATCATAGGTGTCTGCGTTCTATCTCCCGCGTGAAGTGGTATAATAAGGTGAACAATATTGAGGTTAAGAATCAGTCGAGTGCTAGGTAAGGAGGGGAAATCAATCCACATGGCTGTGAAATTACATCGACTGAGATGGTTGGGACATGTGTTACGTATGCCTAGTCATCGCCTTCCTCGACGGGCAATGTTAGCTGATATAGGGCCAGGCTGGAGAAGAGCTAGCGGCGGTCAAATGAAAACATGGCACCAGTCAATGAAATCCACAACAGTTAGTTTTAGACAGCCATGCAGGAAGGTGTAGACTTCCTGGTTGCGGTCCTGGGGACGGTAAAAACCAATGGTTGGAAACTATTGGTGACATGGCTCAAAATCGTTCTCAAAGGCAGGAGCAGCTGCATCCACTCCTTGTGACTTATGATTTCCAATGAAACTGTTTTGTTGTTCGTTATTACTATTCCTTTGTCTCACACCTCTGTTTACTGTCTATACTACGCATTTCTTCTCTTGCTTTGTGTGGTACATGGAGTGTGGCGACTTGAACTGCCGCACATATGTGCAAAGTTCTATGTCGAAAACCGACCGACCGACCTAATACAGTATGCGTTTAATGTTACAGTGATGATGCTGCAGTTCACTTTTCAATTCATACCATCCGACACAAACAAAACTACAACAAACTGTATATGATAGTATCGTATTGTAGTGAGTGCTAATGATAAGATTTATCAGTAGTATATAAAGAGACATAAAAACACCAAATAGCAGGGAGATACATTTGATGTCAGAGTAGGCAAATGATACAGCGTTGTGGAGATACATGGGAGAAGTGAAAAAAACACAAAGAAATACAATATGAAGGAAGGCCAGAAGTAGCACAACACAGAAGATCTGTGCAAATGGTGCGTTGAAGATACATAAGGTGTGCATAATTTGGCTGTATAGAGATACCAAATTGCAAATAAACATTCCTTTACCAAGGCTTTTGTCTTCTGTCGTTTCAGTATCATTCAGCTTAATCATCACTAAAAACTAAATAACCTACGTTATAATTACTATTGGAGTGAATAACCCGTACACATAAATAATTCATTCGTTGCTTAAATTCGTTAGTTGTTCCAGAACGTCGGCATTAGGCTATGTAAACTCAAGTCTCATAGGGAACATAACTTCCATCATGACTGCAGAATTGTTTCTATTTTTTTAGTAAATGCTAACCACCAACCGTCAGAATTTTAACATCAAGTACTGAAGCTCCTAAGTATATGGTACTGTTTCAATCATTGTGTGTAAACACCCACTAGAAGTACAGTTATTATCAGGATGAATTAATTTCTTTTCAGTAAATATGTTGGTTTGTTGGGATTTTATTGATTTTATGTTAGATCACAAATTCTTTTTTTTCTCTAATGGGTGCTCTAACTGAAGTCAGTTTATGATCCAACTCGGCATCTCTCAAATCCCCGAAAACCAACACTTGAGAATTAATCTAGACAGACTACAGGATAAAGTTGCCTAGGGTTTCTGTGAAACGTCGTGACCAGTGCAGTCCACCAAACTGGGTGTGAAGACAAATACTCCATGATGACATTGGCTGGCAGTCCGCTATACATCGAAGGAAGGTAGGAGTTGGAATTGATGAATCATGCAACTCTGTCCCATTGGCTGAATGGTCAAGGGGACTTTTCTCCTAACCTGAAGGTCCTGAGTTTGACTTCCCTTGTGATTGCAGTTGCGTGCTGCTGAAGTGTTCTTAACTGAGACGCAGCAACTGTCCAGTAGTAGTCTGCAGTTTTTAATGGGTCTCTAATTAGTGTCAGTCCGCAGTCCAACCTTAATCACTAGCTTACTTCGTTATGAGTGGTCACATCTGTAAACTAGAAAGTTGGTGGGGAATTCACAGTTTGTGTAAAAATACCATTTACTGATTAGCACATCTTGTTGTAGCTGTATAATTTCTATTTTCGTGAGTTAACTGTGGTATACATTAAAGACTAATAACTTAAATCATACGCTGCTAGGTAGTACATCTAGGTAACTTATCCTTCACCTGAGCAATAATAATTAGGCTGTTGGAAAATTACAAACGAAGCATATATATATAGAGAGAGAGAGAAAAAAAATCCCCATTTAGACATTTAGATCCTCATCTCTGGCTCTACTCTAATATATATAGCATTTTTATTACAATACACAACAGTTTACCAATCAAGCGGCGATATGTTTGTTAACAATAATTAGTCAGTGTCAAAATGTCAATGGGTTGATAATAAACGAAGAAAATTAATACACACATTTAAAAGGTAGAAATGGTTAGAATAAATTAATTTTACAAGGATAACACGTAATTAAAGATGAAGTGGTCATAAAAAATGAAGTAATTTGGACAATTATAATTCTTATAATTTTAAAGGTTTAGGGGAGAGAGGCGAAGTAGTCCGGTTTATACAGTCATGTAACGATGGCCAAGGCAAGGAAAGTGGCTGTACAAATTTCTTCTGAACACACAGGTTTGGCTTCTACAGGTGGATTGCTATTGCTTCAGCTGTCTGTAGAAGACGAACTCGTAGAGCAAAATTTAGATTAGTCGGAATGCGATAGGTAATTTTAAATAATATATTAACATCAACCTTATGCTCACTGTCTACAAGGTGTGCTAAAATAGACCTACGAATAGATCCTGTTTGTCCGCTGCTTAACCATGTTGGATGATGTTCGGAAATACGATGATGAACCTGCCTAATTGTACACCCAATGTAGCTGGCTCCGCAGCTGCAGTCAAACTGGTAGATACACACAGAAGAGGCAAATTTAGATAATTTATCCTAATAGGGGTGGTTGTAAAGAGACAACGTACCTCTGCTGCATAATAAGCTCTTTTAACTGCATTCTTCAGGTTTTCGCTGTGTTCTTATTTCGCTGATGTTGTCACCGAGGAACTGCAGTTTTATGAACATTGGTTTTTTCGGAGCTGTTGCTGTACTGACTCTCCTAGGTGCTGAATTCATATTTTTCTCAATGAATTTATCTGGATAACCATTTTTTCTAAGTAATTCTCTAATAATCGGAGGCTCCTCATTGAGGCAGTCGTCTGAACAGATTAACCTGGCTCTATGAACCAGACACTTTACCAGGTTACGTTTATATTTCAAAGGTACAAAACTCAAACCATGTCTATGGGATATATATATATATTCAGGAATTGTAAATGTATTACCAACGTAATGATGATAATAAGAATCCAGCGTATTTACTACTTGTTTCAATAGACCGTTTTCTAGCTTAACAAGAAAAAAGTAACTGTCATAAGTGTGCAGCTAATAAAGAACCCATGGAGTTGACATCGATCTGTCTATAATACATGTTGTTGAATGTGAGGTGTACATTCATGAAACATCTAAGAAGTAGTTATTTTAGGATAATAATTGGAATTCCTGTGCATCGGTCCCACAATGGTAAAATGCTCACCGACCACGCAGGTGATGCGGGGTACGATACCCCGCCGACTCACTCCTTTACCTTGCTAAGCCAGTAATAAAGCTGGTAAAGAGGAAAGGTTGGGCATGAGGCTAGCAACCTCATCGTGTAAAAATAATCACCACTGCTACAGGAACTTCAAGCTTCTAGCTTGAAGCCCTATGTTCCACTGGAAACGTAAAGGAATAAAAAAAAATTGGAATTCCAACATCAGTCTATTTTTCTATTATCTGTTGGTACACGAATTCCACTGTCTCCATCAGTGCTACGTTAGTGAACATTGATGAAACCTCTAAAGATAAAATGAGCCTAAAAAACTTTGGAAGTTACACATCATAATTGTCTAGACTGCTTCTCCTAAGTGCTTAGACATGGATTGCAAAGTAGTGGCTGAATGCACTCTTACACCTTTGCACAAACAATTTTGTGAATCACAGTGTGTAAAACGTTTTCAAATTTGATTGTAATTTAGATGATTTTAATGTAAATGTGAAGCACGCATTATCCTTAGGTGTTTCATTAATATTCACCAACGTGCCACAGGTGGAAATGGTGGGATGACGAATTTAATCCAATATATTATTAACTCTTCCACGCCTCACATCATGTTCCTGTCCACCTCAAGCGAAATGTTAAACCACGTCATCCTGAGACGACTGGAAGATGCCCTGGATGGAAGACTTCGCTTAGAACAGCCTGGATTCAAGTAAAAACAAATTGCAACATTGAGCGTCATCATCGGACAGAGCAAACCTCAACCTCATCGACTTGGAGAAAGCATTCAACAACGTCAACCGTGACATAATTTGGCATCTGCTTCAAAACTACTGTGTGCAGTACCGAAAACATTGATAAACCTCGTTCAGTAGCCACATGACGACTCCACATGTCAATTAATTCACAACGGAAATCTCCCTGTAGCAGTAAGACACTGACTGCCTAAATTCACCGATGGTCTTCCAGATTGTGGTGGATTAGATCATGTGGCAGGCCGTGGGGAACATGGCTCCATTACGCGGACGTCACACGAACTCTCTATACTCATATAAACGAAAATGCACAAGGTGGTGGGAAAAGAGGCAACCAAGACAGGACTTCAGGTGAACATGAGATAAATATAAAGGAAGGAAGTTATCCCTTCCACACATCTAGGCGGCATTGTTCCAGCTACAGGATGTCAAAGCCAGTCAGTATCGGAAAAGCCAGACGGGCATTCATTACCCTGAAGTCAGTGATTCTGTATGGTTCAGAAATCTATCGCCTCACAAAAAGCATTCCCAACAGGCTGTAAATTCTCATAAAAAGATGCCTTCGCTCGATACTGAAGATCAGATGTCCGACCGTAAAGAGGTAAGCAACGAGGAATTCTGTCAGACAGCGAAACAGCCGAGGACCTATCACCTGACAAGTGTGCAGATGAAGATCAACTGAAAACATGCTGCCAGGATATTGTCAAGTGAAATCACACGCCACGCCGTCGAGTGGAACCTGGATGGTTAGGGCAGAGTTGAGCGTCTCAGGTTGACATAAAACAATTCACATTGAATAGGAAGTGAGTGCTTCTGGCAATCATGAAGCTATCTTAAACAAACGGCTGAGAACCGAGTGCAATAGAGATATAATCAGGTGAAGTCCTTTGTTCTATTCAGAACTCAAAGAATGAATAATAATTAGTGGGAGACTGTGCGATTTGGTCTATTACTGAATACTTTAGTCAAGATTCTTTATCACTTTATGAAATTACTGCTGTATTGTATAATAGGAGGCAACGAATATTATGGAACTTACTTATAATTCAAACAGCTGATTAATAATACTAACCCTAACTACTAATTATATATTTTTTTTCGGTGAATTTTATAATTTTATATGGAATTCAACTTTGCTAACTAACAAAGACGTCATCAGATAAATAGATTAGCTAAAATATTTAATGCAGATCAACTTGTCTTATTTTACTGTTTTTTATTTGTTTCGAGATGATATATTGTACACACACACTTATCTGGGTAACTGAAGTTGTTTTTTTTCTTTTGTGCGTAGTAAATGACGAACTAATTAAAAAATGATTATTGCTAGTTATATTTGTCACAGAAAAAGCAAATGTCTTCATTGTGTCATTCATGTATGTGTTTTTTCACATTGAAAAATCCTGTGATTAAACTGTTCTATTGATACAAGTTGTTATTATGATATTCAGATAGAAATATAAGGTAACTTTTATAATTGTTGGATGGTGACTAGCAGTGGAATCCAGGATGCGCATTTCGTCCTATTTGGGACTTGTCTTCCAGCTGGATGTACCTGCACTCCGCAGTGAGTGATGATGTTCCCACCGAGGCTCGAACCCAGTGCCCATAGTTTCAAACGCCAGATCGTTATCCACTTGGGCCACGAGAGCCATCTCTTGTGCATCGGGGTCATGTTAATTATTTAACTGAATTTTAGATTTTCCCGTCGATTGATTAGACCGAAGTGCTCGGTCTCAGGTTGACATCCAGATGATGAGTCCCAAATTGGACGAAGTGGGCCTCCTGGATTCCACTGCTAGTCACCATCCAACAATTAACTTCTTATTACATGCCCAGACATCGTCGAAGCATGTGCACAAGAAGCCGACATGTCAACCTGAGACCGAGCACTTCGGTCCAATTAATCGACGGGAAAATCTAAAATTGAATTGAATAAGGTAACTTTAGTTGAATTAAACAACTTACCGTTATCAATAAACTTCATTTTACCATTGTGAATATCCTAATGATCAAAACCCAAGAAACCACAATCGGCGCGTTCTCTGGTGTAGCTTGCCAAACTTCTACTAGTTACACACAGTTTAAATTCTACGTCCGCGTAATGTCAAAAACACAGCACCACCTCAAAAATATAACCCGGCAACTGTACATTCCAATAGTATCTAAAGTACAAAATACATACTGCACAACAAATTTAATTAACCGAACACAACAATCAGTTAGCTGAGAATCAATAAAAAGAATACTCCCGACAAGGTGGTGGGATCAAGACATTGTGTCTACCAGAATAAAAACTGAACAAAACACGTTTCCCGCGTATAGAACAAGGTTATGCAGTTATTCCAAGGATTAACATTTAATTCATTCAAACAAAATCGTAACCATAAAACACATTAAGGTCAACACTCCATTATCATACCACACCAAAGCGAAACAAAAATGGTAACCAACCAAAAGGAAGGATAGATGATAAGGATTAAGTCCAAAGAAGACAGGTCAATGTTAGAACGATTATAATACAAGTTAGAGGAAAAGCGTAGTAATTTAAAAAAAAATTGGTTAAAATACTCGAGTAAGTATCAGTGTTGTGAGTAGATTGTTCATGAAGCGATTCCCCAACCAAGCATTTCTCAACAAAAACAGAATAAAACACAAAATAATTGAGCAAAGATTATCCTTTTCGATAATTTCCTCTTCTGGCTCTATAATTGTGTATATATATATATATATATATATATATATATATATATATATATATATATATATAGACGCCAATAACAATATTAGTGTTTTTTCAATAATATCGATTTGTAAAGTAAGATCAATGGAATTACAGTTCATTAAAGATGCTTAAATAATAATAATAATAGAATATCAACTAAAATTAGGGAGATTTACACAACAAATTGAGGATCATTCAAACCTAGATGACCAAGCGGGTCAGGATAATGTCTAAACTAGCTTCCTTTGGACGCGTAAATTAGGCTTGTTAGCATGGATCCCAACAGCCAATGAAATCGTAGATATACGAAAGTGAGGTTAGTTAGTAATCTATTAGTGCTTCTGTTCCTTTCACTGGTTGACTGATTGACATTACTCTGACAATGCGTATAACAGATATAACACTGTCTGATTAGGTAAATGTATGGTATCCCTCACATACAACTTTTACGCTTTGAAATTCTACCATGAGTGTTTGTCTCAACTTTCTTATTGTACAGTGGAATAACTTTTTAACACTTTTGTAATCTTCGCTTTCTATGCTTCTTTATTCCTTTTGTGACAGGATTGTCTTAAGTTATTTCTCGAAAAAGAAGAAATGGTCGGTCCATGTCGTTGGCACTGTCCAACATGCAATACACGACGTGATGCTTCTAAGTGGATAGAATTATGGAAATTACCGACTTATTTAATTATACACTTGAAAAGGTAATTTCCCCTTTTTTTGTTTCACTAGGTTTGTACATAGTGTTTTTTTTTCGTTTTTCAAATGATGTAACCGTAGACTGACTGACTGGTTTCAACGTAGAACTTTGAAAAGGTGTGCAGCAGTTCGAGTAGCCAACCTACCTCCTTGTAGCACACAGAGCAGGAGAAGAGAGATAATAAACAGAGATATGAGGCAAAAAGAATAGTAATATGCAAAGGAGTAGTTTTTTTAATATGATAAATCGCAAAGAGTGAATGCATTTGTGCCTTTGAGAACAATTTTGGTCTATATCACCAATTTCATCCAGTCATTGGTTTTTACCAACCGGAGGGCTCCAACCAGGAAGTCTACACCTCCCCACGTGGCTCTCTGGCCCTTTTCCAACCTAACCCTATGTCAGTCAGCTAACATTGCTCGTTGAAGAAGGTGATCGGTAGCTGGGCATGCGTAACACATGTCCTAACCATCTCAATCGGTGTAACTTCTTAACCTCATCGATTGATTTCCACCTCCCCTTACCTAGAACTCGACGCCTTGTAACCGTAGAGTTGTGTAAGGTTTAGAAGGTATCAAGATATTGATAATGAAATGTCGTCTTATTATTACCGGAACATAAAATAGTAATAATAATCACTTCTCTCCAAACAATAATTTTTCATACAGAATGGAATTTTCAGCTTTGTACATTTTGGGCAACAGTTTATCTCCTTTTTACAAATAAATCCATAAATAAAACAGCAAAAATAATAAAATCTCAAAGACTGACGGTTAACAGATCAATAATATCTTAAATAATAATAATAGTAATAATAATAATTCTCGTTATAATTTGCTGTTTATTTACGGACTAAGAAGTAGGTTTACAAGCTCTTCCCTGACCTTCGTCTCTTCACATAAAACTCGTGCTAAATGTGTAGTCTGGTTGAATTTTTATATTTCGCTGCACGAGCATGAATCCTTATGAAATTTCTTTTAGTTTTACCTGAAGAGGAGAAAGTTGCGAATAAGAAGGAGGATGCTCACTAACCGACAAGATAATACGTTGCTTTCAAGAATTAAAACGCCTGATAGCAATAATGTCAGTTAGGTCTAGGGAAGAATAAGGCAGAACAGTCAAGAAGAATTGGCGAAATACATGAATCAATAAATTGTAAGACAAGAGGTCAAGTTATTCCAGAAACTCTCAGCTTCCTTATGTAATAAGTCAGACGGGAGGTTTTTTAAGAAATCAACAAAGATTTGAAGAGAAATCGATACCTAGATAGGTAACATTCGCTTTATTTTCTATGACACTGCATTCGATATTTCAAAAATTATGCGACTGAATTAGTCCACGCAAGTCTTGTTCACGTCTGAAACTAAAATCAATACTATGACACTTAGAAGTATTTAGTTTTAAGACCATTTGAGTAAGACTACTACTACTGATTAATCTGAAATAAGAAACTGTTCATATCACAAAAATCTGCTGCAAAAACGACTGGGACAAAAATCATCAGACCATCAGCCCTTATAGTGAGATTAGCCTAAGAAGAATACGGTAGGTCATACAAAATGAAAGAAATGGAGAAAGTGTTCAATACCTTGAGGCATACCGGCTTCCGTAGGCAGAGAATTTGAGCTTTCCATTGAAAATAGTGTATTTTTCCTGCCTGAAAAATAGGAAGGTAATCACCTCGTGATCCAGCACTTATTGAGTGCTGATGTAAGCTTGCTTATTAAAAGTGTCCTAGGGATAAAATCAAAAGCAGTAGTATAGTCTAAAAAGGCAAACCGAAAAAACTTTGTACCTTTATCTAGACTGGAAACTATATTATTCAAACTATTCACTCATTCCGCCTCTCCGAGATATCAGGTAACAAAACAGCTGTCTAACCTATCAATCGATCTTTACGCCTTCTTAAAGTTCTCGTCATTTAGAAAGTGTGAAACTCATTCCCAATTAAGAAAGAGTTATCACTGGCAATCAACAAACTGATGCTCTTCCCTAACTTGAGGAAGGTTTCACAAATTATAATAAACTTGTTGTTAGGTTCTTAAAGACCTATGTAACTCACAAGCCAGCCCATAAACCAACCACTGCACTGATTACTATGCAAATCAGAAGACAATGAAAGCAGCAAAAATGAAATCGGTTATAGATCTATGAATAGAACTTTATCCGTTATACGTAAATAAATCACATACCGAGCAAGATAGTTAGTGTATGTCTCTACACATATTGATCCACGTGATTACTACAAATATATAAATCCGCTTGTATAAACTTATACAGAGGAATTTTACGAAATTTGGCATCAATATCATTTTGTAATCAATAGACATATCAATCAATCAGTGAAGAAGCTGAGAAACAGCTGCACGGTCAAAGAGTAGATCGTCGGAGTAACTTATTGTGTAACAAAGATGCAGAAAAGGAAAGTCTGACTACTAAACAAACACACCGGTCGCATTCCACGTTGCCAGGGCATTCTAATTAACAGGTGTTCCTGAACAGTTTCTGTCGACTAAACACTAACATGCGTCAGCGGCACACTGGTAGAATATTCGCCAACCACGCATGTGATTCGGGGTTCGATCCCCGGTCGATACATTCCTTTACCTCTCTAAACCAGTATTAAGACCGGTAAAAAGGGAAGGCTGGGCATGAGGCTAGCAACCTCACTCTGTGAAAACAAACACCACGACTACCTAAATTTCCAAGCTCTAGCTTGAAGATGTAAGTGTAAAACTTGGGCACTGTGGTAGAGTGTAACTCCATTATGGATAAGATTTTATTTTGATAAATCACACAGTGTTATACAGTAATATTAACTGATCACGTTTCGAGCACAAACTATTGCCACTCATAATCATATCAAGTGTCTAACAAACCGAGCACTAGCACTAAGTAGCACAAGAAAAGACCTAAATGATCAAATAAAACAGATAGAAGAAGCGTTGGTGTTAAATAAACTATCCTATAAAATTCATTAAGAAGATCAGTAAAGGCCGAAAACAAAATAAAAATAATTGTGAAACTAGTAATGATAACATATATAAGAGAGAATATAAGTCATCTACTGTAATACCATATAAGGAGGGGACATCTGAGGAACTACGTAGGATTCTTAATAAAGCAGGAAATAGGGTGGCATTCAAACCTACAAACTCACTCAGAGACAAGCTCTGTAGGCTAGAAGACCCGGTGGACCCAATTAAACAAAATAATATAATTTACAAAATACCCTGCAATGACTGTGAGGTCAACTACATAGGTCAAACTAGTAGGTCAGGGGTAGTCAGATTGTCAGAACATAAGAATTTAGCTGAGGTAAGAATGGTTGGCCCAGAGAAAATAAGTAATTTAGAAAAAAGCTCAGCAATAGCACTGCATGCATTAACACAAAACCACACAATAGGGTGGGAGAGGGTTAAGATTCTAACAAATAATATATGTAGGTGGAGAGAGAGAGAGATTGATTACTGAATCCTGCCTGGTTCATTGAGTCTATACCCAACACATGCAATAGAAATGACTCAATGCAAATACCAGAAATATGGAAGATATTATTACCGCCAGTCATATCATAAGAGAATAATAAATAATCTTAGAATTCTATATTTCAATTCAAGCACATCACAACATTCGAACAAGTTACTTATTATGACTATAAAAACACTCGTCGTATTTCCCATCTAGTTGTAACGGATTAATAACACTCGTACTATTATTTCTGAATGTACATTATCTCATATTGAATTTTATTCCAATATCTAATCGATTCCACACATGTATATAAATGAAGGAAAAACGTTGTGTGAGTAACTTGATATGATTGTGAGTGGCAATAATTTGTGCTCGAAACGTGGTCATCAGTTAATATTACTGTGTAACACTGTGTGATTTATCAAAATAAAATCTTATCCATAATGGAGTTACACCCTAGCTTGAAGCCCTATGTTCCACTGGGAAAGCAAAAGGAATAAAATTAATTTAAAAAAAACTAACATACAGGGTTTGTGTATGATTATTTCAATAATTCGGTTAGCTAATCCACTTCTGGAGACATTATTATATCCGTCTAACTAAACAAGCATAGATCGTTCGACAAGCCTTCCAGAGCAGTTTCTCTCTCTCTCACAATGTCTCCTCACCTGATAATAAATCATCAGAAGACAAAAAAAAATTCAGAAAGCAATTTTATACAGTGCTTTACAGCATCAAAACATCTGAAGTTAATATCTAAATTGCAGTTTGTTTGAGAAGCATGTTCCATTCATTAGGTTTATTTGTGATGTGTTTCTCGCAGACCTGAAAATAGAGGGTTCATTGAAAATTCCTGATGAAACACATATGTTCGCGTATCATGCACGAATATTTCCCTCTATTTATTTAAATTGATATTTTTTTTAAATTTAAAGATGCCTGTGATTATGATTTTCTAAACTTTTGCTTTTTCTCTTTGGATGATTTTTAAAGTGTGTTTTTTTAAAGTTTATATTGACATACTTAGAAAGCTGTTTTCATATTGATTGTGTGAAATGATTCATGTTTTGACGTGGTTGTTAGCTGTGTAAATTTCACTTAGGAATCGTTAACATGACTGACGACTAGAGAAACTGTACAAGTGTCTGAATTATAACAGCGTTTAACTTAATTATTGACAAAAAGTTATAGAAACGTAGGTAAAGTAGTATTATGCTTAACTAATTAATGAAATTATACATATATTACTGAGATTACATTTGTGTAGTAACATTGTTTATACGTCAAGCAAATTGGTGGATGGTGACTACTAGCATTGGAATCTAGGATGTATATTTCATCCTATTCGGGACTCGTCATCTGGATGTACCTGCATTCCCCAGTGAGTGGCGATTTTCCTCCCTGAGACTCGAACCCAACACTCATCGTTTCAAGTGTTAAAGCGCTATCCACTAGACCACTTGGGCCATGGAAGCCACCTCTTATGCAACAGGCATCAGTTATCGTTTGTTTTTAGTTCAATTTTGAAAAGAAACGACTCACCGTTGTCCAAGTGGTCTAGTGGATAACACTTTGGCGTTTTGAAACGATGGGTACTGGTCTCGAGTTTTAGTGGAGGGACATTATGACTTTAGATAGTAGGAGGCAATTGGCAGGAAGCCTTGGACCTAAGTTTCGTGCTAGCTGGCACTCATCCGCAAGGCGTATCTGTAACCTTGAAAGAACTCATGTCCCTTCTGAAATTCGAACCCACTTCACCCAGTGCTGCAGTCAGAGACGTTACCACTGAGCTATTTGGAATCGCGATTGACCTCCTGTAGGACTATAGTGGGTATTTTCATTGGACGCTAGTAACTAGAGTGACGTGTCTAGTCCTTTCTTTGGTGCAGACTGAATTCTATCAGTCAGGTTTTGCAATGTGGCCACAATTCTAAGTAGCTCGCCATCACGGTGCACATTGATTTGATGATATTAGATAGTTGGAGGCAATCGGCAGGACATTATGATATTACTTTGAATACAGGTACATCCAGAGATGAGTCCTAAATAGGACTGGACGAAATAGGCATGCTGGATTCTGTTGCTAGTCACCAGCCATCCACCCATTAACCTCAAGGTGATGATCTTCAGAACATCGTCCGAGCGTGCGTACTAGAAGCCGACGTGTCATTAATGGCCGAACACTTCGGTCCAGTCAATCAAAGGAGAAATATCAAAATCGAACTAAAAACAACAAATAATTGTTTATACGTCTTTTAATTCATCCATTAGTAGAATAAATCAATCTGTTTTTCAATGAAATCTTTTAAATGAAAGAGTTCACTTAACTTCTTATCCTTGAAACTTATGATTTAATTACTTATTAAACTTTAATGTCTATTTAGATTTCGATATGAACATGGTAATTGGCGAAAACAGACAACAAATGTTAACTTCCCCATTGAAAGCTTAGATATGAGCTCCTTTATTGTTGGTCCCAAACTGCATTCCAGTGAATATGCTTTATTCGCTGTCCTAGTAAGTTATGTATTTTAACAAAGTGATCTTTCTAATTGTTGTTCATTAGAAAACGGATTTTGCTGATACCTGTTTTTTTATTATTTAATGGAATTATCTCTGACACTCTATAAACAAGTTGTCTAGCATAAAAATGGAGCACGAATAAACTGACATTTGACTGCTGTTCAGGTTCTGCTTCAACTTCAGGCAGTATTTAAGTGTACTTTTCTTAAAGACCGTCAACAGAATTGACTTCTCTTTTACTTACCTAAACGGCATCGTCTCAACTACAGGCGGCATTTATGAGAGGACGTCAAAGGCAGGATCGGAAAAAGAAGGTAGACCTTCAATTAATATGAAATCACCATGGAAATCTACTGCACTCGGCATTAGGAACAAAATTCAGATTCTCACCGCTAATGTCAAGTGAGTGCTCCTGTATAGTTCAAAGACTCTGAACGCGTCAAATTTCTGACAGGCTACTGCGGACTTTCATCAACCACCGGCTGTCTCATCTCGATACTGGAGATCAGATAGCCAGAAAAGACAAGCACCAAGGAACTCTGGCAAAAGAAAAACTCACCAAAAACCTATAGACCAACAAATATGCTAAAAGAAATGGGTATTGATTGGACATATGATGAGTAAACCGCTGAGTGACATTACACGCCAGGCTTTCGAGTAGAACTTAAGTGGAAATAACGAATTAGGTGTCCAAAGGTAGTGAGTGACGTGGGACGAAGTGTGAAAAAAGGCAATGGAAGCTTATGAGCAATCGTGGAACCAGATAAAATGGACTGCAGAGAACCGAGTGAAGTGGTGATGTGCTGCTGAAGCCCTATGTCCCAGTTGGTATCCAAGGGAATAATAATGACACCCACCCAACCATCGGCTTTACTCTTGAGGCTGAATCCGACGGAATGTTCCACTTCGTCGACGTCCATCTGACAAGAAACGCCAACAACTCTCTGAAAAGGTCCATATACAAAAAGCCTACATGGAATGGACAATTCATCAACTTTCAAAGCTTCGTGCCCCTAAGCAGAAAGAGGAACCTGATATACTCTCTTTCCTCGAGGATTCGGAAGATATGCAGCGAGAAAGTGATTGATGAAGAACTGCGTAATCTCCGAAAAACCCAAATGGAAAACGGTTTTCCGCCGAGGTTCAAAGCGAAGAAGACTTCCGAACAGGTCCAATCTGTCCCAAAGAAAATACTTCTGCTTAATATAGAGTCCAAAGGTGACATTGAAGCAGAAATCCTTCGTAAACGCCTGTCCAAATCTCTGAGGAAAACATACTTCGTTGCGAGCCTACGACTGACGTTTTCCTGCAAGACTGTTCAGCCAGAATGCGAAAGACAAGCTGTCGCATTGGGCCACTTCAACGTGCATATACCAGTTTACTTGCTCTCGTGGAGCTAAGTACATTGGCCGTACCATGCGCCAACTTGGAAAACGCGCTCGTGAACACTACCTAGCCTGGCTAGTAAAAGATCGACAGAACATCTGGACAATTCGGGACATTCAGCGCCATTTGAAAAACCCTTCGAAATAATATACAAGATCCGATCCAACCCATTAAAGGGAGTGAAATTAAGACATCTGGGCATAGCCGAGGCAATAGCTATCCAAAAGCTCAAACCCACACTATGTATCCAAAAGAAATACGTCCAACCCTTGTCCCTGCCATGGCCATCATAAACAGGTAATTCTCTTAGTAATGACCATCCCATTACCTTTCTTATCCAAACTTCCTGTTTATTCATGTTATTTTAAGTTTTTCTTAGTCCCTATTTACACTACCATATTTTCATATCCAAACATCCTGTCTATTTTTGTTATTTCTACATTTCTAACCCCCAATTGCACAATATGTCAATCTTCTCAATAATTATGATGCTACTTTGTTTGAGTTTTATCCGTCCCCCTGTTTATTATGGCATTTTAATTCCTAATTGTAATTTTTATTAATTTGACCCTTAACCGGAAATTATTCTGGAACTTTCCTATCGATTTGATATAAAAACACGAATGTACAGCCTAGTTGATGACCTCGTCGAAAAGAAAATTTTCTTCGCTGCAACTGTCTTTTTAATAACTTAAAATATTAGTAGTATTAATGGACCTTTATTACGTTAGTAATCTGTAAGAGTCGTACCATCTTGAAACAAGGGCCGCCTGGTGATCATAATGATACGAGTAATAATTAACTATTGTATTTTTGACACATGTCCGCATTTTTTCTTCATTCAACACACTGATAATTCTGTTTTTAGGAAAATGATATATATATAATGGTGCGTCGGTGGCACAGCAGCTAGGGCGCTCACCGACCATGCACATCGTCCGGGGTTCGATCCCCGATCGAAGCACACCTGATATCAATGGTCGGTCTGCTAAATGTGGGCTACCGATATCACATGCTGGAAATCCCATGCTTGTATCAAAAATACTGTGTGGAGTCAAGCTGTAGTAAGATTAAAATTAATTAAATTAGCGTGTGCTACTGATAAGATATATCAGTAGTATACTAAGAGATGTTCATCGGTATAAAAATATCAAACAGTGGAGTGACAGATTTGAAGTCAGAGAAAACAAATGCTTCAGTGTTGTGGCAGAAAATGGGAGACACGAAAAGAAGACAAAGAAACACAATATGTAGGACAGAAGTGTAGAACTGTGGTGAGAGCTGTCTGCTAGCCAAAGTTGGTAGGCAGCAATTTACGTCAATGTTTATGTCCCAAATCTTGGTCGTGAGAAAAAACAAGATCAAAGACTAACACCTTGAGGAACTCAACAACCAATCACAGCAGACTTAGCGTGGGCGGATACGATTAGCAGATGTATCAACGGACTGTTTAAGAAACGGCAACAAAGAGATGACAGAATAACCTTCAGCAGGAAAACAACCAATCATAAGATGTTACCTCTCTGCTTACAATAACGAATAATAATGTACATAAAAATCTGTAAATATCTGTTGATTTTCTCGATAAACGGTTTGTTGCCTGACCCTTGTATTCTGTCGTTACAGAACAACACGGAAGATCAGTGCAAATGACGATTTGCAGATAGGTTGTACATAATTTCGCTATGTAGAGATACCAAATTCTTAAAAAAACATTTCTATACTAATTCCCTTGTCTTCCACCGTTACAACGATAGAACATAGGGGAATTTGATAACGGAGCTATTTATTGGCAACTAGATGTTCGGATAAGCGTCGGTGGCATAGCGGTTAGGACGCTCCTGTAGAATAAACACTGCTACAGAAACTTCAAGCCACTGGCTTGAAGCCCTATGTTCCACCAGGAACGTGAAGGAATAAAAAATAATGTGCGGATGTAGGCAAATTACATCTACTATATAATAAAGTCACAATTTGCACATGTGATCCGTATTACGCTTCTTTCTCTTCCTTTCATGTTTCCTAAGTTGTTTTACGAGCATTGTTCATTTCTTCTCTCCTCCATTAAATCCATTTCTCCGCTGTTCGATATTCCTACGGATGACATTCATATTTATACTTCCACTTTTATACTGCTTATAAAGTTTATCAGTAGCCCACGCCATCTAAGAATAGTGAAGTCTATATTCATATCTGAGTATTTTATGCTCATCCATATCATTCCACTAAAGTCCTATTGTGATTCACTGGGTTGGTAGGTACATATTGTCTCTAAACACCTGATTCTAAGTTAAATACCTTTCAGTTTTCGTGAGATAGTATTTCATGATTTTTCTTCTCTTTTTGAATTCAGAATCATCGTGGTACAATGGAAAGTGGTCACTGTGAGTTGATTAGAAAATATTGTTTCTATTAAATTGATGATTTTATCTTATTTGAGTTAAATTACTTGTCTATTTGGTTTCCTATGTCAAAAGGTTATACCGTGTACATGATTTTGTCTATACTTTCTCTCTTCAGCTCTACACAGTAGGCATTTATTAAGTTTTGATTAGTTGGAGAATTTCATCATTAGTTGACATCAGTTAGAGAACCACTGGAAAACCTGGCAGTACTGGGCAGTCGTTTCATCCTAGTTTGGGACTCTTCATCAACACGCACCCACCGGAGTTCGGGCCCAGGACCTTCTGGTTACAAGGCGAGCTCGTAGACCATTAAGCCACTGTAACCCGATCCAATGACCAGCCCATGAATTCTAACTTCTACCATTTCATTCAAGATTTGCTTCTGTGAATACGCTTTTCCAAAAATTATGAAAAATACTAAAAATACAACTAGTTAGTTATTTGCAAAGCACGCAAGCCAAGGTGAAATTTTATCATGGTGTGTCCTCTGAAAAAGCCAAAACTTCAGATCACAGTATACGTAGACTATGCTTGCACTACCCACTCCCTAGTACTATAGGTTGGCATGACTGGTTCTCAACAGTGTGCATGAATTGTCACATCTTAAACTTCGTTAATTTCTTTCATTCTTAAGTGATATCTGAGTGAATGGAATTTACTGGAAGTCAATTCACTGAGAGTTACCTATTTATCTGCAAACTCACAAAGGCTTATAGCAATTCACTGTATACAACAACTTTTAAAAGTGGATAATCACCCGTGGGTTCGCGTGAATTAGTGTACAACTGCACTCAACATTTTTCGTCTACAGCTTAAAGATGACCTATGTGAACAACCCGACTGACGTAGATGAAATACTCTGGCTAAATCCCCAGAAACCTTTGCAAACACTGAAGGGTATCGTGAGAGAGAACAGTCTTTTTTATTCACCCCATATGGCAAATGATGCTTCAAGACTGAAATACCCCTTTTGATCAAGTTACGTTAAGCGGGATTATGAAACTGCTGGGACTACGCATAAAATTGTCTCAGTGGGAATAGGGGATAGTTTTTACTTTCCGTAAATTTTAAGTAATTGTCTTATAACTTTTACGGTGATAATTAGTTTTTACCAGCAAGTGTTTGCAGATCATATGAAAAATGGTTGTACTTCCTTCCGCCTTTATCGTGCTTCCCTTCTTATTTTATTATTTCTTCAGAGGCTAATTTCATTTGATGTGAAGTTTTTTCTTTAGATTAGTGTTTGGAACATTAAACACACTCTTGAGTAAGTCTTGTGGTGATTGGTTACACTTGTATCGACAAAAAAAAAATAAAAACTAGAGTTCACCTTATTTTATGACAACCTTTCAATGACAGGATGACATTTAAAATGTCACTTATAGAGTTATACTAATACACGAAATGAGTGGTTTTGAAAATTTGAATGATATTAAACAAATCTGACCCACTTCAACCATGGCACATTGTCGTACTTTCTTACTAAATAGTGCATTCCTACACATTTTTCCTTTCGGATTTTACCTTTGTGTCGACGTGAATGAGTGACTCATGTGTGCGGTTCAAATCACTCTAAAATTACCGTATACCTTTTGGTTTTAACTATGATATTTGCATAAGCTTTGCGATATTTTCATTATTTATCATAGCATAGACAGGACAAACAGTGGCTCACTACGGACACTTGGAGACTGATAGAAGAGAGAGGGATGGTGAAACAAAAGATTATCCAGTGCACCGACGAGCAGCAAAAACAGGATTTGAATGCAAGCTACAAGACACTGAACAAAAGAGTAAAGAAGAGTGCCAGGGAAGACAAAAGAAAATATTATGAAGCTATGGCAAGGGAAGCAGAACAAGCTGCAGGCAAAGGAGACCTCGCAACACTCTACCAAACAACTAGGTACCTATCGGGCAAAAGTTTGACACAAATTAAGCCGGTGAAGGATGACAATGGAAAGTCAATCACCAAAGAAGTAGAGTAAAGGAAACACTGGGCTGAACACTTCAAAAGACTCCTAAATCGACCACCACCTACAACGCGCCCAACAATACCAACAACGGAGACAGAGCTACCAGTGAACACCAACCCCCCGACGAAATCAGAAGTCCTGAAGGCAATCAAGATGCTAAAAGCTGGAAAAGCAGCAGGACCAGATGGAATCCCAGCAGAAGCATTGAAAATTGATCCAGAGACAACAGCGGACTTGATGACGCCACTACTAGAGAAGGTGTGGAAAGAGGGCAAGGTACCTGTGGATTGGAAGAAAGGATACTTATTCAAACTACCAAAGAAAGGAGACTTAAGTCAATGCAAGAACTGGCGCGGAATTATGCTCCTGTCCATCCCAAGCAAAATACTAAGCCGCATCATCCTGGAGAGAATCAAATATGCCCTGGATGAAAAACTTCGACCGGAACAGGCTGGATTCAGGAGAAACAAGTCATGCATTGATCAGATCGCCACACTACGGATCATCATTGAACAAAGCTTGGAATGGCAGTCACCTCTCTATCTCAACTTCATCGACTTTGAAAAGGCCTTCGATAGCGTCGATCGAGAGGTGCTTTGGAAACTACTTCGCTACTACGGGGTGCCACCGACAATTATACATCTCATCCAACAGCTGTATGACAATGCTGCATGCCAAGTAATCCACAACGGGAAACTTACGGAATTCTTCGAAGTGAGGATAGGAGTAAGACAAGGCTGCCTACTATCTCCAATGATTTTCCTGATTGCAGTAGACTGGATAATGCGACAAACAGCGGGCAATGAGGTAACAGGCATAAAATGGACTCACACAAAAAACTTGGAGGATCTTGACTTCGCCGATGATATATGTCTGATTTCCCACAAACTGGAAGATATGCAAGCGAAAAGCAACAAGTTGGCAGAAGAAGCATCAACGATAGAAAGGACTTCAGGTGAACATAGAGAAGACAGAGGTGATGAAGATTCCTGGGCAACACCACCAACAGCAACAACAACAACAGACAACAATCAGCATAAATGGGAGGAACCTGAAAGAAACAACCTCCTTTACCTACCTGGGAAGCATCGTTTCAACTACAGGCGGAACTGACGAGGATATCAAAGCAAGAATCGGAGAAGCAAGACAAGCTTTCACTACTCTCAAGTCTGTGTGGAGGTCAACAGCACTCAGCATCAAAAATAAGATCCGGATTTTCAACTCCAATGTGAAGTCAGTGCTACTATACGGATCAGAGACTTGCACTGCGCGTCATAAAGAGCATCTCAAACGAACTACAGACCTTCATTAACAGTTGTCTTCGCTCAATACTACTCAAGATCAGATGGCCAGAAAAGATCAGCAACAGAGATCTCTGGCAATGAGCGAACCAACCAGGAACGGATTGTGAAACAAATAGGCAGGAAGAAATGGAGATGGATTGGCCATACTCTGAGGAAACCATCAAGTGACATCACTAGACAAGCCCTTGAGTAGAACCCGAAAGGGAAGCGGCGAGTTGGTCGTCAGTGCAAGTGGGTGACTTGGAGGAGGTCATGTGAAGAGGAGATGAAAACGTGTGGGCGGACTTGTAGCCAGGTGAAGACTCTAGCAGAGAACCGAACGCAATGGAGACGCACGGCTGAAGCCCTCTATGTTCCTCTAGGAATTAAAGGAAACAATAAGAATATAATAATTATTATTATTATTATATATTTCACAAGACCTTTTTTTATTATTTCAAATAGATACAACATATTGTCGCAATATCCGTGATGGTCGATGGTATGAATATGATGATGAAAATGTGTCCTTACTTAGCAGAAATGAGATACAAGTAAGTTAGAATGTAATTGCTTTGTACAGTGATTTTCTTCATTCAATAATTTAACTTGTTTAGTTATCATTCTATGATACACCTAAAACAGCGACTTTATCGATTACGTATGTATTTCTATGCGTTCCGAATGAAACATAGGACTTCAAGCTTGAGCTTTGAAGTTCCAGCAGCAGCGGTGTTTTTTTTACGGGGTGGGGTCTCTAACCTCACATCCAACTTCTCCTCTTCACAAGGTTGGTTATCGGCTAAGAGAGGTTTAGTCACGCGTCGACTGGGGGTCGAACCCCAGACCACATGGGTGGGTTAGTAAGTATTCTACCGCCGAGTCACCGATGCACATCAATCGCTGAAGTTGAACATTTTTATGAACTATATGGATAAGCTTTCGTACACGAAGCCTAAACGAAACACTTATTCCTGTTGGGTGGTAACTTACACCACCACATAACCACCTGACCTACAAATCTTCTGCGTTATATTTCAATAACTTGTGAAAAACATTTGAAAGGATGCATATGCATTGCAGTGTTGCATTGTACTTCAAATTTCAAGCGTGATCAGGAACTGACTTCAGTTAGGGAACCAATGGAAACTAGGGAGTACTGGACAGCTATTTCGACTTCTTAAACCATTTAGTCATGGGGACAGAATCAAAATAAATGCCTATCAATTCTAACTTTTGCCAATTCGGATGTGTTTAAAATACGAATTAACTGCGAGCGCTATATAAAATTTGGGGACTGCAGAAATCTTTTCGTTTGCCTTCTTATTTACTTCAAACTGCATTCCTCATTTACCACCACCTAATGATTTTTGTTTCCTATCACTTTATATTAAGAGCATAGTAACCATATGTTTTGAATTTATATTGCTCACGTGCATCATTCTATATAACTTTAATTCCTCTGCGCATCTTACACTGCACAAGTGTTTGACATGTAACTCACAGGGAAAGTAATACAATACGGGCTGTGATTGCTTAAATCTCTGGGGAACAGTAGTAGTGGCAATGATATTATGCTGGATTTCAAAATGTAAATATGCTTCTCGCATCAGTACACTGAAGCAGTACATTAATTAGGACAAATATAGAGATGTTTCAGTGAGTACTTCATCAAGACAAACAACTGAATACTAAAATGTATTCTTTTTTCAAGCTGTAACTATAACACCTCAAGATATGCTTCAAAAATGCAGAGAATTTCAGAAGCTAATTCCTCATTGATTCAGGTGGAAAATAGGTCAGCTAATTTATAAAATGTAATTTATAAAAATGTGAATAAGTAACTCCAATAGCTGAGTGGTAACGTCTCCAACCGCAGTAATAAGTGACGCGGGCTAGAATTCCAAACAATAGGGGACATAATCCCTTCAATATTGTAGACACACCATGCTGACGAGTGTCAACAAGCACGAAACCCAGGTTCAGGGCTTCCTGTCGACAGCCTCGAACTATCTAACATAAGCATACCTCATTAATATTAAGAACGTGAGAAAACTTCAGCTTTTCTTTCACAAATGAATTAACATGCAATGGAAAAGTAAACTGACAAGCGAGTCCATTGAATCGGCAGCCAACACTTGTTTTAGATACCTCGACAGTTTGCTTCCCTCACGATAGAGGGACAAGAAATATAGGGTTATGAATTTTCAAAGCTACTCTCTCGACTGGAAACAGTAAGTGAAACAAGTAAATGTGCGTCAGTACTTTCGAGAAGTGCAGCATTAAAATATGTGAGCGCACTACCTAACAAGTGAATCTTTAGACAACACGTCAACCATAATACAACTCCTAGGAATCAATCAACCTCAATTAAGACGGCGATTTACTATTCGCCATTTTAAAAGTTAGTAATCCCTCTCATAGCATAGCATTGGAAGTATATTTTAGTTGAGACTGTAACCTGCTTTTACATGAATTCTACTGATTATTTTCGCCTTTGAAGCCATACTCTATCACTCACGACCGCTTTTCTTCTTTTTACTTCCAGAATGATAACGCTTATATATTGTTCTATGAATTACTACCTCGTGTAGGCGTGTTTTTTGAAAACCCTCCTGATGTGGTTCGATGAATCGCTTAACCTATTGTGATTTATATATATATATATATATATATATATATATATATATATATGATGAGATAAATTATCATGCTAACTTGCTTCAACCCCCTGATGTATATTTTCATATTTTTTACCAATAATACTCTAAAAGATCAGTTTCTATCTCTTTCTTTTTTGAAAATAAATGTTACGTTTATTTTTCTATGCTTATAATGTTTACTTTAACCTGTTAGCAAAATATTAGTTTCAGTTTATCAAACGACAGAGGGAGTTAAGCATCAACTAACCTTTTGATCTCACGAAATTTACAGATACTATTCAGAGCAAGTACGTTCACGATAGAGCACAGTGTAGCAATGTAGTTTTGATCGACATGTTCTGCACTCCATTAAACAATCGATAGGTTATGGACAACAGCAGCAGGATAATATCGGAAATACTTCTATTTATGCAACCGAACTATAAGGCGATTATTTCGTGTATTCGCCTAAATGTTTTCACGGTGACTTCTATTTGTGTTCGTAAAACTATAAGGTTCCTCCAAAAGCTTAAGATCAACCATATAAAAATGCGAACCAATCTCTACACCTTAATTTGCGTCTCAACATTTGCTGTTACTTTCGCACATATTTTAATTTGATGAAGGTCGATAATTACATCGAAAGTCAACTGTGAGTGTTCCCATCATGCGCTGTCCTTTTAGATTGAAGAGGTCGCGATTAAACGTCTCTACTGTATTGACTACGAAGTTTGCACGTTAGCAATCACTGTACAACTTTACAAAAGATGAGGAATTTCACTGTTTGATTAAAAAGTTATTTTAATTCAACAAACATCAACATATGAGACAAGAACGAACGAAGAAATGCTGATATGTCCGGAGGCACATGAATTTTTCGAGAAACAAGCACTAAATACATGTTTATACAACTGGTAAAAATTTGTATATCAACATTATAGAATCCCTTCGAGGGCGATTCACAAAAATGTACAACTTTTTAAAATGTAAGTGCCTAAAATTAACAAACCTGAGATATAGAATTACAGATATTCTACTCAAGCGGTTTTAATCAGTACCTTTAACTTGAGTAATCATTAAATAATTAGCGGAAACAGTATCTGCTGACAAGGGAATGCAATAAGAAAAAACTAAATCCCGATATATATATATATATATATATATATCGGGATCTCCTAGGAACTATAAAAAGTATGCATGATTCCGCTTTACAAAAGGATTTCAAAACAGTTAGTGGATTAAATTAAAACAAGAAACCATGAAGAAACGAAAGAACCAGGTAAGTGAACAAGGTTGAAAAAAAAAATCAAGCAGGAGTGAATGAATGAACAACAGATGATTCTGTAGAAGGTACAGGAGTTTCATCATCAAGAACTTCATCCACACTTTCTCCACCATCACTTCTAGCTCCAACGCTTGTACAGGCACTTGTGCTACTACTTTCTGTACACGGTACTTCGGTCAGAATATCATCTTTGTTTGATGTACAACCTGAATGTTCGGAATCTGACGACCTTGGAACTGGTAACAGTATGGCCTGCGTATCTCGTCTATTTGACTCGGAATCGGCATTTATCCCCTGCGTATGTCCAGTAGAGGGATATGTGGCAGAATTCGCGTATTTCTGTGTCCATAATCGTGCAATACGATCATGTTCTGATCTGTTATGCATATATTGACTAGCAATAGACCCAACTAAGGGGTCAGCAGGATTGCAATCAGTAAGCAACGAACAAATGGATAGTAAAACCTTGCTGATAGTAAGTGCTGGAGACCAGTTATCCTAAAAAATTGAGGAAACCAATTTTGAAGTCACAGATATTTCTGGTAAGATTAAAAAGTTAGGTTAGTCAATTAAAATAACCACTAATGAAAATCTCAGATACATCTTGTGTATAGAGTGAGAGCAAGTTTTACTCTACTGTCACCTAATATCTGATCGCAGTTTGAATGAAACATCGACATAGTTCCTCCAACACTTAGAAAGACTAACAGTACTATAAGTAACCCTAAACAGCGTAAGACATATGACTAAATTAAAGGTTGACTCTTGTTTCTAAGATTGTGTGTGGAACAGTTGAGCGTTTATTCATTTTGGACGATTCAATAGTCCTAATGGGCTGGTGGTTTTCGGAGTTCCTACATGAATAAAAGATTTATATGGTATTCCCCAACTTCAAGTGTATTAGGGGTTAAAGGAATGCTAGGCTACTTTTCAATGAGCATGTGCACTATACACTTTTTCAATTAGTCCTTCTTCTAAAGTCGTTTCATACTGCCATTGAATGGAAAGACTAGAGGTTTTCGATCACGCCTATTTTCATTCGACTACTAACGACAAGTTTAGAAGCATGCTAGGTAATATTTAACAAGATCACAATCGATATAGGTGATATGTTTGCTTTTGATACTAAATGAAATGGGGTTAGGCTGTTAAGAAATCTAAGGTAATCGAAGCATTACACCAAACTATGAGAGAATTGTCGAAAAACGTCAACGACGTAAGGAGGTGTAAGTTGCTTAGCTCGGGACCTAAGGATAGTAAGGATCAATGGATGGAGTCTAACAGTGACATGACTCAAAACCGTTCACAGTTTAATTTATTATCTAAAAATCTACACTAATTGTGGAGTCATCCTCTTACACTCTGTGTCTGACAAGTGTAGTTTCACTACATTTCAGTCACCTTTTTTCTGTGGTAATTCGAAGCGACTCAGTCTGAACTAATTCATGTCTATGCAAAGTTTTAAGCTGATTATTCAATCAATACCGTTTGCATACTGATCTCGCTTCTATTACAAATTAATGCACTAAGTTACAGTGTAACTTTGCTATCTAATCTAAAATTATGCCACAGCACTTCGCTGTAAATACGGCACTGGTATCACAGAACTTTTCGTAAAAAGCCTGATAAAAATGTCTAACCGCCGTAACAGACTAGTTTGAAGTATTATTGGACAGCTTTCTATCCTAGGGATCATGTTGCACCGAAGATGCTAACCCATTACTTCACTTCATCCACTTTTCCGAGCAACTCCGAGGCTAGATAACTGTTAGTGTTATCAAAGACACCGGGGATGGCATTCGTAGCATACATAAATGGCACGGAAAGTGGTATTCCAGGACGACTTCGTCCATGTTCAGACATACGTCATAAAACATAAGAATTACTTACACTGTGACGTCATAGGATACACATAGTTCCACGGCAATAGTTAGGATAGAACACGCAGGGTCATCACAAGTCCAAGCGCTACAAAACCGATTTTTGGTGACCAGACTACTATCACAGCGCCAGAGGCGACTCAAGTAGACGCTTATTTCCTCCAAATGATTGGAAATAGCGTACTACTGTCAGCACTCACACAATTGCTTAGATGATCACGCTTTTTGCTGATCTTAATGACTCATTTGAGTGCAGGTGACGGGCTCTTGGATGACGCGAAGCAGATACCATACTTACAGACATTGAGTTAACTGGTTAAGTAAATTGAGCTGCTTATATGTTACCGCTCAGTAAGACGATATCGTCTGCATACTTTAGGTCGAAGTCTGTCTCCAGTTGGTAGACCTACACCCCATACATACTACACAGCTGTCTTTAGAATGTCATCTTTGACAAATATGGAGTAGCCCCATCTAACCAAAATGCCGTCTGAACAGAGTGGCGAGGACTACTTGTGAGAAATGACGCGCTCTAGCTGAGCGGTTTCAAGATGCTGATTAACCTCTCAGAGATACTATCCTCCGACAGAAACGGCGACAAACTGAAGATAACCTTAATATAAAAAAAGTCTTTTGGCCTGCAAAAAATGTAACGATACCCTAACAAATGACAGAGAGAAACATCTAGTTGATGCAATTACGAATGCTTTTTGCAAATTAATAATAACGACAACAGTTAGTGATTTCGATATAAATGGTAACATTAGTAATATAATATAGTAAGCAGAACCTTTTTAAGATGGACACAATCACGGTCTCATTCTAATTCGCGCTGATGTGAGGACGCTGTAGGTGGAAACAAAACGATGGTTGTCGTGTTACCCTAAATGTGATTAGCAATTCATAACGGCAGAGACAGATTACGGAGACAATTACGAGCATATAATGAAAATACACGCAAAAAAATGCTAATATAATAAAAGTTAAGTAAAACAGTTTACTATGGAAGGCGAAACGATTGAGCGAAGAGATATTTACTTTTAAATGATATCACCTCCAGCTCTACTTTCATATGTAAAGCACTTTAATGTAACAGGAAGAATTTTAGAAGTAAATATTTCTTCGCTCAATCATTTTGCCTTCAAAGCATTTTACTCATCAGAGTAAGTAATATTAACATCAGAATGACAATAAACTGAATGTTCGAATATACGACCAATGTAGTGTAAAAAGCTGTAACACCGCATAACTGAATCTTTCGAAACCCCATGTGGCGGCCAAGATACTGTCAACACGCCAGCATTCAGTGAACCGAAGTAATAACTAGACGCGTGACTGTATGTCGACATTTTGAGGCAAGACCGGAATCCACTTACTGTCGGCTATACTGGTCAATTTAAGAGAATGTGCATGGAGCAAACGGCACTAACTGTAAAGGACTAGGACGGGAGGAAAAACCTAATCACATTTGATTTGCAAACCACCCAGCACGCATGTAGAAGTAGCAAAACATGATTGCTGATGTGGAGACCATGGTTCGGAATCCAACATACTAATGCCCATGCACATATATCTTTGGAAACATGGCCTTTAACTGTTGATATTAATTAAAAAGCCGTTTGCAGCTTTTCACATCACCTGGCCTTATCTTATTAATTGCCTCCAGTTGTGACCTCAGTTTCTGCTTGGTTGTATCAGCTTCCAAACCAATAATGCTTCCTTCTGATCAAGAGTAAATTTCTCAACGACACTTTGTACCAAAAAAATCATCAGACAATAAAATTCTGTTATCCCTAGTTCTAAAACACGATGAAGTAAAACTATGAGGTAATATTCATTTCTTCCAGAAAAAAACTCAAAAAAGTGACTTAACTGGCAGCAAAATGAAGTAAATATGGCTCACCTTGAGTATATCCAGGCATATTATTCCGTGACTGTTTATATTGCAGTGATAGATGCGCGTCTTAAATATCACCTGAACGGTAAAAGTCAGCATATTATGACAACTACTTTAGGAGGCTTGAATGGATATTCCGTAGAAAAGTGGATATCGAGAAAGAATATTCCACCTTCGTAGACTGACCCTTGGGGTCCCAGCAAAGTTGAAACCCATTCGTAAAGATTATCTCCTCGAGGAAATGCACTGACAGTAACCAACAAAATCGACAAACCTGCAGTTAGGTGGTGGATCTGACATAATATCTGTCAGTTCTTTTTGTATCCTTAAAGTAATGTGATTTTGTCAATGTAATACAAACCTTTTCAAACTTGTAGACATAGATTTTGTCTTAAAATGAACACTTGATGGAGGTTTCTGACCATTGTTTGCTACAGGCGTTGAGTCCATAGATGCTGAATGGCCAGTAAAAGCTCTGTCATGTGTACGTTTACGCACTCCACGCCTAGACTGAGAGGAAGACATAAGACAAAAAATGTTGAAATGGCGGGTAAGCAGAACACCAACTATAACAATAGGCTTCGAAGCTCAATCGTGACTAAGTCACACAAAGTAAAATATCCTAAGTATTTCGATCTAATTTTTTAGTAGACAAGAAAAATCTCTATCACCACTAGACTGCGCCTGTATGCCCACCATTCTAAGATCACTACGTGACATAATCCGTTTCATTAGCTCAGATTTTTAATGCCAGGTTACTAACCCAGATGTCTTCCAGCTAAACCTCCCTCTGATACTTCTTCAAAAATGTGATACCACCTTAGAGATATATTTTAAAGGAAACTGTCTAGTTAAAAGATGTTTTCTTAAGCGGCCAGCTCCTGTACAAATAAATGAGTTGGAAACTATATTACTTAACCTCTTTTAAGTGCACGCAAGCCAAAATAGTTATACTTTTTAGGAATACGTGTAACATGGTTATCGATTTGCCTTAAAAATACTTGAATTGTGGATGCTTTACTGGGTGCTAATATCAGTTGTACTTAAATCTAGAAGATATTTAACTTAGTTAGCATCTGACTGGTGAAAGGGATGATTGTAGGCTTATTTCTTTAAGCCAGTCTGCCCACACAGTAAACCGATATGTACTTTTGCTTAGAACAGGTTGAAACTGGTTCTATGGATTAGCCATCTAAATGTAGGCTATTCATTCCTTAACATGCTAGTTAAATTCACGTCAAAATAACATTTCTGCTCTAAGCCTTTGATAATAATCGTATGTTAAGTCAGTCTTTTTAACTGTCTAAAGTTCGGCACATTTACAGATTGGTGAAATTGTTCTACTCAAGTTACCAGTTTTAATCATGGCAGAGCTTAAAGGGATTAAGTAAATCTTGACAAGTGGCAATTTTTGTCTACTGGACACCATTTCGACAGTGACTGTGTTCATTTGGGTTATCTTCTCATTTGTCGGAGGTAGGAGTTCTTGACGCTGATTTGTTAACTGCAGGCTGACAAAGGACCCGAATAGTAGTATGATAAGTTATAATGCACATTACCTTGATTTTCGCCTAAAAGATTTACATGGTGGTCAACTATACACTGTGGTGACTAACTCTACTTTGTTCAATCAACGCTTCTAAGTTAGGTCTTATTCACCTCCTGGCTGACAGTCACTCGAATCATTTGTCTAGGTTTTAATGATTCTTATCTGGAAGTTGGTTACCGCATTGTATTCTGAGTTTCTGGTAGTTAAATCTTCGCGAAACGAAGGTTTCCGTTTCTGTACTTTGATGGCATCTGGTTTTGTGAATTGGCATGGATTGTTCTAAAAGACTGGTACCCTACGAATACCAGGGTAGTATTCTGCATTTACCCTAACACCTAATGAAAGGAACTATCTTCCTGTTCAGTATTTTGGTCATTACCAAATCATTCTGGCTGAACTTATTGATGAAAAGGTTTCACAAGTATTTTTAGTCAGTGGCAAAATCCTGTGGCTCAAATTATAACTTTGGGTCGCCTGTAAAGTAAACATCTGTCTGCTTTCGGATGAATATTAAACAAAATGCAAATGACAGTGTGAATACAGATATAGTGAGGCTTCACGAAACTACAAACGACTGAGAATCTGGAGAACATCATATTTTGTAAGGGCTCCAGAGTTTTCACTAAAAGTGCTATGAAAATTTCTGTGTTTCAAGGTTTTGTACTTGAGAGACTCCAGTTTACAGACACTGACAATATCAGGCACACAGTGATTTGGAGTCAAGTAATAACTCGTAAGCGATACAGAGGACCACTTGTTATGTCTTCTAAAATTACATACCGATTTAAACTAATTCGGCTTAAGTGATTATAGAATAGTGCAATACAACTTTTCTTTCGAAGACTATTTTTTCAGTGCATTCAAAAGGCACAATAGTGAAAAATTGCGTTACACATATTGAGCATAATGGGTCGCCTAATAATCATAAATTTTCTCATCATCATGCATTTCACTATAGATGGCTCACTTGAGTATGAATGTTTAGGGGCGAGCTTAAACTATCAAAACCAAATCCAAGATCTGTAGAAAGTTGATAATGAGGAGTTGATCATGTTAAAGAACACCACAAAAGTCATTCCAGATCAAATCTGATCCCCGCTTATGGATTTAGTGAGGGTAGGTACAGCATTTCACCCACTTCTCAGGCGTATTTTTCTGCAAATCAACACCGTCACGTTGGCTCAACGATTTTAGGGGTAATTGGCCTCACCTTAATGTTTTGATCGGGGCATTAGGCTGGGGAAGGACTAGAATTCTGGTTAGGTTAGAGAGCAATGACAGGAATATCAATGAATCATATCAATGGATCTTAATCTAGAGTCATCTTCATGCATACATCCATCACACAGGGTGTGATTTCTCCACGGGTTATCCTTACAGTAAATGGAAGAAGCCCTTGCAACACATAAAAGACAGTTAAAAAGTGTAATGTCATGCAAATAATGGTGTTCTGATTGGTTTTTCATACTCAGACTGACATTTTAACTTCGCCTGTTGGGATTAGCATGCAAATCAGCGATAGTTCTGAGGCAGAAATTATAATTTGATATGTCGTTCACACATAGGTGGGATTGATGACACTGTTATCGTATTGTGTTAGACAAAGATGTAATAATAATAATGTATTTCATATAAATTTACAAATTTACATGAAAATGCGTGCCATTTTTACAGGCACGATCAAGTATGATATAATATCAAATCGTAGATTGTCTACAAGTTAATCGTATTTCAACTGTTAAATATTCGATACATATAATACACTCATTTTCTGAATTAGGCCGTATAGTTATTGAATTGTACAGTTGTCCTCCAGGTTGAGCGGGAAAATCGACTTCTTTCCGTTTTCATCCCGTGGTTGTAGGCATACGATAACCAACCAATATTGAGGTAAGTACGCCTTTTACAAGGGATTGGAATCTGTTTTAGAAAAATTAAAGTGCTGAGGTGAATCATTAAATTGTAATGAAATAGGTAAGTGCAAGTATCATTAATAAATGCATTAATAAAGGAAACACCCTAGGGTAACAACATTCATTTGCAATGTATAATGCTACAGATATATCACAAACTATCATGATATCCACTTTTGGTTTTAATACAATTATCCTCATGCCAGTTGTTTTTATTTTATACCTTTTTGTGCATTTAGTGCATAACCGTATCCTTCAGAGAGTAGGGGTATAATAAGTAATGAAGAGCTATAAGATGTTAAGTTTAATGGAGTAAAATGAGGATCAAGTAAAGACGTTGTCAGAAAATAAATGAGATAAGACATTGTGGAGTGGTATGAAAAGATCTGACGATAGACAGCAAGTTAATTTATAAGATGCCCCATAAATCTGAGCAGATCCCACATGGTCGCATCTCAACAATAGGCTGGGTGAATGGTATATATTTAAAGGTAGAAGCATGATCTGTCAAGGCGTTCATTGTTATCTTTTTCAAGATAAAGATTTAAGCCCTCATAAAAATCAGAAATATCTCGAGCCTTTAAATTTTTTAATGCTGTTCCTGCAGAATGGGGCGACTCACCTTAGTGACCCCCACCATATCTACTGATCAGCTAACTCCACCCTCCCACCTTTTTTGATGTTAGGCTCTGAGACTATGATTATTATGGCTACCGCAAATATATTGCTTGGTACCAGACATGTTCGTACCCCATATTCCATCTCCCTAGCTTTCTTAATGAGTGCTTCCAATAGGTCCCCGCGTACATCTTTATGAACATATTATATATGTATGCATGCGTCCTAATGAACAGATTACTTTATAAGAAGACAAAAACCTTGAAGAATAACAAGAATAGGTTTTGTGAATAGTGGAGCAAGATTCAGCAGAACAATATAGTTAGGGTTCAATATAGGTAGTATGAACTGAAGGTAAGGTCGGTTGGCAGGACCAAGTGTACTAAATTATCATGACAGTTTTATATATAGTAAACGTTTGACATTGCAAAGTAACCTGTCTACATATATTATAAAAAGATATTAGCAGAACCAACAAAATTTCAGCATTTGGTTAACAATACTACAGAAAGTGAGTGAGTCTTACAGGTAGCCGTAAAGTAAATCAATCTATGTATAATAAGAGTGTAATCAGTGTTATAATTCGTATTATCAAAGAATACATTAGGCTCAAAAACTGAATGTTATAAGGGAAATAAGAGTGATAAACTAAGAGAACATTTGCTGCGTAAGTAATCATTTTAAGTATTTTAATGATAATCTAATTTCAAGTATTGAACATGCATAATTACTAAGTATTATTAGGTAGTAGTACATCGAATGTTAAATTCTTAATGTTCGAGTGTCAGACTTGAAAAACAGACTTTTCATGTGACCTATGTTTTTATTTATTTATGTAGCTGCACGTTAAATGACATAAACTGGCATCGAAGTGCTTAACCTGATAAATGGAATGAACCGCGTCAAACAGTTCATAAGTTCGCTGAGTCAATTTCGCTGGACAAACACAATGTCAGCATAAGTAAGCTGTAGCCCATGTGCCTGCATTTTACACTGTTATTTCAGAAATGTCGGGGAAGATTGGGTAAAATCTTGTACTTCCTGAATGAGGACATTCCAATTTGACACCAGCAAATGCTTCTCTATTAAGTTATCTAGTATTATAGTTTGAAAATATGCGATATCCGTTTCCCACCGAATCACTTCTTGCTCAAAGAACATTGGCCACCTCCATGTTTGACTATGTTTTGTTGTAAAAAAGGATTTGTTCCACTGATTTCACCCATTTATTTCTGCACTAGTGCCATTGCAATTGGGGAGTTGTCGTTCCAATTTCCAATATCTCGCGAACACTTTTAGTTGCGCTATTTATTTAGCAACCATATTGTACCTTAGCCGCATTCGAAGATCTGTGTGTAGTCTTAGAATATGACTGATGGCGAAGGCGTTTCCGAAAGACGTACTGAATCTACTCTCCAGTGGGTTTTGGCCGCAGACAGGCTGAAGTTCGAGGGCTTCTGCGTGCTTTGCTGGGGTAGAAT